TATGAATCCAGCCAGCATATACAAAAGCAAATGGTAGGAACGAAAGATAATTATTCTCAGGTCGAACAAGAAATTCAACAGTAATACCACAAGAAATTATAATTCGGCACGAAAATAAGAGAAGGAAATGATAACACCTGAAAGCGCTAAAAGACAAAATGAAGAAAAAAGAAATTATAAGCCACGCAGCGCTAAATTGCACCTAAATAATAAATTGAAATGAAAGCGAAAAAGCCAAGAAACCAAAAAATCATAACAAACTAAACAAACTTATAAGAAACGAAATAATATGTGTACAGATTAACAATGAACAATATGCAACACCAGGAGGTTTGCTGTGTGAAAGTTAAAATAAGTAGACACCCAGTGGTACATGCTAATACCAAACTAAACAAACTTATAAGAAACGAAACAATACCTGACATCGGCAGTCGGCACAATCGGCAGTCGGCACACAGCTATTTCCGTCGCAGGAGCGGTACAGGGGCAAAGTGTACAGGTGCATCATGGTATCCAGTATTAGCAGGGTGACACGGTACTGCATGACGTTGGATGGCAAGGGATGCCCGAGCAGATGCAAAATTGGTAGCGGTTAGCCGACCACCAGACGCATGCTTGAGTTGAGAGAAAACGGTCTCGATTGCACTCCCAGTCACACGCACGGGGACGACATAATAGCCTGGATTCCGTGATGTGAAGTCCTTGCAGAACTCCACAAAACCATAGCGAACAACACGTAGTAGGTCCCAGGTCTGCCAAGCCAAGAAGTCCTTCTGCTTTGGATCCGTTGGTTCAAAGCCCGGCTTGGCTTTGAGCAAGCCCTCGAGCCACTGGAGCCAAAATTCGAATCCTGTCACTATTGATGTTATGGGTGCTGACTCTGCACTCCTCACCGGCTCATGCGAAAACACACCTTTCTCAAAGAACCGATTGCAAGCCACGAGATACTCTCTAGTTGCCTTGACATTGACATTGTCGAGGTGGTCAGCGAGGAGGTACTCTGCCAGCTCAGTCAAGAGCTCTTCCTGTTGCATTACTTTGGCTGGCAGCACATTCAGTTTCGTCCATGCATCGCGGAGGACGTGGTTCTTCTTCAGCTTGGGCACTTCCCGTGGGACACCTTTGGAAAAGCGAGCCACTTCACGCTCATACAAATCAAGAATAGTCTGCCATCCAAAGCAGACACCACTGGCAGTTCCAAAGGACTTTGTTCCACCTTGCCGAGACGAATGCAGCGCGTTCACCATGTTCTTCAGCTGGTGTGCAGGACAGACAATGAAGAATAACTTCTGATGGCGCCAGAATGGATGCGAGATGGACGAGTTAATCATATGTCGGTCAGGACTGGACTTCATGCCGAATGCACCACGGACACCCATCATTGATTTGATCACTGATAAGTTGGTGGCAGCACCATCGCAGATCACAGCACATGTCTTGAAGCCAAAATCGTGAAGCAGGCGTAAGGTATCAAGTAGACATGCCAGTATGAATTTGGCGTCCAGAGAAGAATGTGTGGTGAAGTAGGGGCCAAACACGTCAAAGCTGGAGGACATGTCGCGCCACATGAACTGCAGGACATACTCAGTACGCTCGGTTTTCTTCCCTTTCAGCTCTGCAAACACGTCGCACAAACTGACCATATCCTCGTCATTCATGGCTAGGCCGTATACTTCATGGCTTCGCGAATTCCAAAGGATCTTGCTGATGACTTTGACCTCATCAAAGATCATGAGGCCTTCACCAATTGGAGGGAAGTTTTTCTGATGTGCTGCCTTCTTCACGCCATCATACACCTCCTTCTGGAACTTGATGCTGGATTCACAGCGGCCAGGCTTATCTAAGTACGCACTGGTGTAATGCTGCAGGGACCGTATACTCGGCAGCTTGAAGATGCCGAATGACTGCAGCGCCTCGTAAGCAGATCGGCTCCTTGAGAAAACAGCCAAAGCAACTCGGTAGGTGAGCAGACTCCACCTATTCCCATGGGAACCCTGCTCGTTGCTGGACTGGTCTCGCTGCCATTCAGCCTTGTCAGCAGCCCATGCAGCTTGCAACACATCCCGTGCCTCCTCATCACCAGAATCGGTGACGGACCGAAGGTCATTGGGACAGTCGCGCTCGATGATAGAGCATGCAGTGGATAGCTCGGACGACTGCTTCTCTGATAGCATGACCGAGAGATGCTCATACTGAGACAGGTCTCTATTTAGTTGCCGCCGCAGTAGCCGACCTGAACTGATCCTTTCAGTTCTGCTGGAGGGTGACAGATACTGCAGGGGAGTATTTGATGACACAGCCGCTCTGCTTTTCTTCTGCTCCTCGGTGCGGCCAGCTGCTCTATCCCTGAGGACAGACAACTCTTTCTCGAATCGTTTGCAGTTCGTGCACTGTACACTGTCCAGTAGCTGACATTCACGCGGTGCACTCTTGCCAGGCTGAAACACTATTTTGCACTCGCATGAGTCCGCTCGTACAAATGGCAAACTCCACAATCTGAGTTTAGCTGGCTGAAAGCGGATCACACTCCCATAGCGAGTTTCATATTCTTGAATACCTGGGCAATACTTCCAAGTTCGGTTTACCATACGCTCCAAATATGGCTTCAATTCCATAAGGTTCTGTCCACACTGTCCATTCTCCGTGAACCCTCCATATAGGACCTCGAAGACGAAATGACCCCCGGGTTTGACAATAAGTCTGGATAATGGCACTGATAAACTATTGACCGAACACGCAACGGTCCTGGTGGACAATACCTCCACTGTAGAGTCATCTAGTTCACTAATCTTCAGCTCAGCCAGGAAAGAAGAACCAAGGCTTGCTACAAATTTCACCACGTCCACGAATAATCCCCGGGGGCAATTCGCTTAAGATATATTTAGGTGAAGGTTCCACAGCGTCACGTCGATCCATTCCGCCTCGAGTCCATTTACGGAGTTGAAAACCAAAAGAAGCATGGACTACTTGTTTCTTCTTCGCAAAATGTTTCCGTTGAAAAGCCAACCAGGATCCCGGATATCCCTGCACAAAACCTTTGTACCAAGAGTTCAAGAGTCCCGGGGGTTATGCACTCTTGTTTGAACTGCTGGCGCAAACGGACCAAGGGGAAATCGTAAAGAGCTACGCGCTGCGATTCGCATTCGGATTGGCTTCCACCATAGTTTCCAGAAATCGAAAAGGAACAAAAACCAACACGGATGCACGGATTGCGCATGACGTAATGTAGGAATTTCGCCGAGCGCTGGGTCTATGCCCGTTGCACACTCTTGGGGGTTATGAACTCTTGTTTACATTTATCATATATTTAAAGGGGAAGTGCATCGATTTTTCGAGTAGGGTCCAGAAGAAAGACAATTTGATATCGGTTCGAATGGCATATCTCTCGCTTCCATACGATAAGCCAAACTTGCCAAATCGCCAATTGTATGCTCACGTTGCCATAGCGACCAGAGCAGTGATGACGTATGAAAGGCTTAGCTCCTCCACAGAGAAGGTCGATCACTGCAGAAATTGGTCATTTTTCAATTGTCTTATTGTATTCACGATGTGAAAGAAGTGCTGTGTTCAATGCTGTTAGTGTCGTGAACTATTTATCGCCCTTCTCATGCATTTCCCTAGGCTGACTGCGCCTAGGAAATGGTTTCCTCCAGGACAAGATGCTTGGAATTCGCCATCTCTCCTGAGACATTTTCAGCAAACTTTCAAACCTACGACATTATTTCATTCGTCAATCTCCACCACCCGTCGTCTCACCTGGCTTCAGAAGATGTTACGAGAGATAGCAGAGTCGCCAGGAAGCATCACATTCATCTTCAGGAAGTGGAAAGAGCAAACGGCATGGTCCTTGGTTGGGGGAAATGCTGAACGTCTGATTTGCCCCAACCAAGATTTCAGCATTTTGTTCGTCGCTATTTTCGCTTGTCTGCTGGTGTCTCTGCACTCCAGCTTTCTCCTGTCGGTGTCACGTCCCAGTACACAACCGAGAGGACTACTAACAAACAGTTCACTGCACTAACAGCATTGAACACAGCCCTTCTTTCACTTCGTGAATACAATAAACCAATTGAAAATGACCAAATTCTGCAGTGATCGACCTTCTCTGTGGTGGAGCTAAGCCTTTCGTACGTCATCACTGCGCTGGTCGCTATGGTAACGTGAGTATACAATTGGCGATTTGGCAAGTTTGGCTTATCGTATGGAAGCGAGAGATATGCCATTCGAACCGACATCAAATTGTCTTTCTTCTGGACCATACTCGAAAAATCGATGCACTTCCCCTTTAAGGTATCATATTTAGGGTACATGTACATGTATCATATACAGTTGTGGCAAGTGAAATCCAACACTTGGCATAAGGGACTGCACCATGCAGTCTGCAGCCCCTGCAGCCCTGCATACGTACAGTACATGTGTTACATACAACTTTATCTGTTTGATGACAAAACTCGTACTCATCACAGTCAAGGTTCAAAAGGTGCTGGCAAAAATGAATGGGGATTGGATACCAATACTCCTTATGTGTACCATGTTTGTGAACTGTGTGTATCTACACTGTGACCTTTCGATCTGTTTGTGATGCATACGGCTCTGTAGTACAAATTAGGTGCAGTGCATTACATCATTGGTGCCCATTTGTGGCGCTGTCCCCTATGACAAGTGTCGGATTTCACTTGCCACAACTGTATTTATTTAACTGAGTAGTACATTGCCATATATTCAGGGCAGCTGAGTTGACTCTAATGTACTGTCTGTGCCACTGCTCATCCACACTGTTTTCTGGCGAGTCTCCTCAGGTATGTTGTGCACCGTGCATTTGTACTTATAGAGTATGGTGTGGCTGTTGTATGTACAGGTTGACTTCCTGCTAAGTCGTATTGACCGCGCTCGTCCCACTCCATTGCACTCCACCGTCGGTGCTTCAGTCGACTCCTGGCTGAGCTGTTTGAACGAGCTGCAGTCATTGCGGCGGCAACAGCGCCAGAAGCAACCAAAGCGTGGCCATTCCCTGGCTGACTCAGGTTAGTCACCACGGTGTTGGCCCTATTGTGGGGACACATACTGTGCCATGTACTCTTTCTACACGAGTGGAATCATATGGCAACGATGGCGAAACCAATGTTATGGCTTCGACTTAGTTGCTTGGGAATGTGATAGTTATTGTTGCTGTGTAATCTGCCTGTAGTTCACCTGGTTTTGTCATGCAGTGCTTCTATGACCAAGTTACCTACTTCATGTTGTGCAATTCATGCCCACACTTCCGCTGCTACTGTTTCTCTTGCCTTTGCTCTCAGATGCTGCTGACCTGACCCCACTGCTCAAGAAACTCAACGAGCTGTCCGGCGAAGTCCAGTCAGCTCTCTGTGGCGCGGTCAAGTCCAGTTTTGATGACATTGGCCCTCGCACAACTTCGGACGGCCAGACATTCACCCTGCGTGGTGTGCCTTAGTGATTACCAGCGCCGGGCATGCATGGTCAACCTTATCTCAGCTGTGACTGTCACAACAAGCAAGCAAGCGTTCTCCTTCTCCTTTTCTTGCTGGGAGGTAACAGTGGACCCAGCGTCTTCACTTGCGGTGAACATGTGTCGTCAACACTGTTGCGTTCAAGCTCCAATGGCTGCTTACCTATCCAGCTAAATCCTTCCTAGGTCCAGTTACAAGTGCTGTACCTATAGTATTGTTCTCTGTCCGTTGGACCAGCAGACTCATGCGTTGAGCTAGGCAACAACCTGCTTGCCTTCATAGCGGCTAGCTGTTTTGTGGCACGCACATGGTGGCCAGGCAGCGTTTCACTATTGGCACGCATTGTCCCATCACCATTTTTACTCGGCAATGTCAGTCCTGTCCAGGTGCTGAGAGCTATCAAGTGCATCAGCAGTCTTTGCCTCCAAGTTTACAGGCGATAGTGACATACTCGATGCTCCATCGCTCTCCGTCGGGTCTGCTCATGCGCTCTCTGGCCCACGTGTTGGCATTTCTGTGTTTGGTGGTGACGTGCTGCATTTCCAGTGTCTGCTCTTCACCCGGTTATCGCTACAGGTTTGTGCATGGAGCTTGCGAGAGGCGGCCGCCCCGCCCGAGCAACTCCCCTTAGTCTAGCGTGCTGCACGCGCATCCACATCCACGTAAACACGTATGCAATGATATCAGATCTGAATGTGTGTCGACTGCACCTTTGCCCTTGTTCTGCCCGTGATGCTGTTCTAGTTGCTGAGGCGCGCTGTCCCACTACGCGCTGCACTTGCTGCTCTTCGCCATGCATTGCTGAGTACTAGTACATGCAGCATAATGGCACTGCGCTGGCTCTCACAGGTACGACCTAAACCCTGCCACCTGCACTGGAAAATTGGTCTTTTTTTTGTTTCCCTATTATTTCTTCGGTGCATGTCACTCCGTTTTTCTTCTTCTTTAGTTTATACGTTTCGTTTGTTTTCATGTTCACTCGGCATGAGGCACAATACAGTCATCTTACACAACAGTTCAGATATGAATAGTATGTTGCTGTCTTCGAGTAAGCACATCCATCAGAAGGACCGTGGCTTTCCGTAGTACTTGGTGCTGCATGGTATAATCAGATAGCACATGCTTTGAAAATGATTGATCTCCGCCTGTGACTGAGGCAGTGTGGGTGTATGCGTCTGCTCGTCTGCGTGGTGGTGCTGGTGTCGGCCGTGCTGGTGGTACTGCAGTAGCAGTAGTGGTGTGTGTGTGTGTGTGTGTGTGTGTGTGTGTGTGTGTGTGTGTGTGTACATGCGCGTGTATGTGTTTGTGCATGAATGTGTGCACGGGTTCTGCTGTTGTGACTGCGTTCTTTTGTTGTGGGATCATAATTGAGAAATAGATCATAATTATTAATAATTGTCGACGAGGAGACAATAGTCGTAAAATGGCAATAAATAAGATAAATTGTGCACTCATAACAACAGCAAAAATGAAGAAAGTCAAGTTCCATAACGTTTTCTTGTGACTGTCATCAGTGGATCACCGTCACATAAAAATGTAATAACTAAAACACACACTTATATACATGTAGCTAATATGGTTTCAGGTAGAAATACAGCAGCTAACAAGTACAAAAAGCGAAGTTTGCACCTTTGCAATGTGTGAATATAGTGTATGTGAGAAAGGTAGTGGCCGAAGCGTGGGAGACCACGAAAACATCCGCTGCCTATTTCTACACCTAGCACGGCTCACAATTCGGAAACAGAAGCACCGACTACTTCCATGGAGAACGAGCAGACTAATCTGGTTCCCCCCTCGGAAACCGGACCACGGCAAGGGAGGCCGCCGGACGGTCGCTCCTCGACAAACCATGTTGCTACAACGGTAAGAGCGGAAGGGGAACAACTTGAAAACAGAGCAGAACCGAGGAGAAGCAAGAGACTAGCAGAGGCACGACTGAGACAAGTGGAGAACACAAGGCAAGGAGACGCAGGAGGAAGCACAGGCACGGCACAGAACGAATCAAGGAGAGGGAAGCGGTGTCGCGAGGAGATGGAGACTGATGACGACGAATACGCGTGCGATGGGATGGACGGCGGCATTGGAATGGAGGTGGAGGATGAGAGTAGTGATGAGGAGGAGTTTGATGTTGACAAGAGGAAGTCTGCAGTGTACAAGCATTTGGTGTCCAGTCCAGAATGTCGTAAGGTGTTTGACGATTCCTGGTTTAGTGTTATTCGTTGCGCACGTTTCTTCAAGCAATTGCAGGTGTTGGAAGCTGTGTATATTCGTACTCGTGACCCTGTGCTATGTAAACAGAAAGAAAACGTTGTATCACTCACACTCTTCAAGTAATACACACGCACCATTACATTCATTCACACAGTATCACATTCATCTGCCACTACCTTTCTCACATACACTATATTCACACATTGCAAAGGTGCAAACTAAGCTAACAAGTACAAAAAGCGAAGTTACTTCGCTTTTTGTACTTGTTAGCTGCTGTATTTCTACCTGAAACCATATTAGGCCGAGTAAAAAAAATTACTAGATGATCGTCCTTTTTTTTGGAAAAATCGGGGAGGGCGGGAGGATTTTATTTTTATTTTTTTACTTTTTACCCTCTCATGCACACAGTACTCGTACTGCAGTGTACACAACAACATCAAGGTTTTTTTTCTCTTTTTTTCTTTTTTTTTCTTTTTTTCTTTTTCTTTCTTCAGCAGATCGATACTGACGTTGTGATATACTAGTAGTATGTGGTCCATATAGTAAAGAAAGTATTAAACAAAGCGTGCACATGTTTCCTGCATCCGCGATCGGTAAAAAACCAACGATTTCGGCAAAAACTCACGATTTAAAAAATAAAATATTTCTTGGGGCGCTGACAAAAACTGGGGCGGACGGGGACGATCATCTAGCTTTTTTTTTTACTTGGCCTTAGCTACATGTATTATAAGTGTGTGTTTTAGTTATTACATTTTTATGTGACGGCGTTCCACTGATGACAGTCACAAGAAAACGTTATGGAACTTGACTTTCTTCATTTTTGCTGTTGTTATGAGTGCACAATTTATCTTATTTATTGCCATTATTAATAATTATTATTATTATTGTCATCGGGTCTACGTCTCTCAATATATGCAGTTCCATAATGTTGTTTTCGAAGTCGACAGCATGTTATGTATGTGCACAGTAAGTTGTAGTTGTTGTTGTTGTTGTTGAAATTTTATTTTGTATCGCAGACCAAACGGGCAATGGTGCCCTATATTATGATGGCGATAAAGTAATGGCCGAGAGCCAAGGATACAACAAGCAAGCCTCCACGAAAGAGAGAAAAACACAGAAAACACAGACTGCAAATACTCAAAAAGAAAAAAGAGAAAGGGAAAAAAAGAAAAATAAAGAAGAAGAAAGCACAGTTGAGTCACAGTTGAGTCACGACTCCAAGTCCAAGCCTAGATGCTGGCTAACCATAAAAATAAACCTTTAAAAGTCTCTTGAATGATCTATGGCAGGCGAGGGACTTGAACTCTTGGGGCAGGGCGTTCCATAATTTAACAGCAGAAACGAGCGGCCGACAGTCACCAGAGACTCGCCTGGTGGCAGGGACAACATACGCATTTGGATCGTTGATCCGAGTGACGCCTTCAGTCTGGCGACGTAGGCGCTTGGACAGGAGATTACTAATTCTGGCGGTGTGGATACGAAGCATGAGGAGGCGGAGTTTACAGTGGGCGTTTTGGATGATGGGGATGAGGCCTAGACGGGTGTAGATGGGATCTGTGTGGGAGGGGAATGGCTGGTTGGCAACGCAGCGGATACATCGCTTGTCGAGGACCGAAAGCTGATGCCGTTGGTGTGCAGAGAGAACCGAGAAGAAGGCATTAGATCCATACAACATGTCCGGTAGTATTAACGATCTGTAAAATAGCAGGGCTTGTTGCTCAGTTAAGCAGGAGCGAATGGCTCGCAGCGCCGTCAGTTTCTGGGAGGTCTTCCGTGTAATAGTTGCAACTTGAGTCTCCCACCGAAGCTGGGTGTCGAGATGTAGACCTAGATATCGAGCATTTGTGGTCTGAGCTAGGGGATTTCCATTGCATTCTATGTTAAGTAACAAGGGCTGCCTGCGAGACGCATGAAGGGCTAGAACGTGGGTTTTGGAGGGATTTAGTATTAAGCCTCTTTCTTCCAGAAAGTTGGCCAGGTTGGAGACTGAACGGGAGAGGGTTAAATTCAAGAATTCGACGGATTGACTGATGGCGTCTAGCAGGATATCATCAGCAAACAGCTGTGAGTGGGCTGGAGCTGTGATCTGTTCTATTTCCATTGTGTAGATGGAGAACAAAAGAGGACCCAGCACACTTCCCTGAGGAACACCACACTCACAGGGAGAGAGGGCGGACGACTGGCCATTGCTCAGGACGACTCGCTGACGGCGGTCAGTTAGGTAGCTCATGAACCAACTGAGAGCTGTTGAGGTAATACCAAGCTGAAATAGATCTGTAACCAAAATTTGGTGTTTGACCTTATCGAAGGCCTTGCTCATATCGACAAGTACAAGACCTGTATGGCGCTGCTGATCCGCTGCCTCCAAGTATCTGTCTACAGCCAATGTCAGGGCATCTTCTGTGGAGTGAAGTGGGCGATATGCGAACTGGTTTGCGGGGAACAAGGAATTTCCGGAGAGGAACTTACAGAGTCTCGTGTGGACTACCCGTTCTAGGAGTTTGGAAACTATTGGTAATAACGATATCGGTCTATAATTCTTAGCGACAGCTTTGTCGCCTGACTTGAAGAGGGGACGAACATCCGCAATCTTCAGAGATGCAGGAACAACACCAGAAGCCAGAGATGCATTGATTAGTATGGTGAGGGACGGTGCAAGGACAGGAGAACAGTGTTTGAGGATTGCAGCTGGAACCTGGTCGCTGCCTGCAGCTTTGCGCACGTCGATGTTGGAGAGCAGCTTAGCGATCTCTTGCACACTTGCTGGAGCAAATTCTTCGAGGCATTCCTTCTTCGTGGGACCCAATGGGGCTGAGAGACGTAGTGGTCTAGTTGGGTGGGGGGGGGGGGTAGTCTGAACCAGACTTGTGGCTGTGTGCCTCACCACTCAAAAGCTACTACAATCCTAGTTCATACAGTAGAAAGTAAGTAACAGCAACTGTTACTACTACAGTACTGAGTACTAGCAGTAAGTTGGTTGCATGCAAGTCTCCCTGGCCTGCATCATACATGCTGCATGCCATGCGCCCCTCCCTCTTCTCTTGTCCCTTTCTTGTCTTGACCTTCTCTGCAAAAAAAGAAAGAGAAAAAGAGTGGTAGACCAGTCGAGCTTCGAGTTCGGCCCTCGGCTTCACCAGTACAGTGTTCACGACACAAGCCTGTCACCGCTCGAGCGCTCGCAGATACCTGCGCTATGCATGGTCGATCGACAGCTTGGTCAGTGCAGTGGCGATAGTGCTATGAGCCTATGACGCTGCATGCAGAACAATCTCTGCAAGTCGTCATCGTCGGAGGAACTCTGTGTCATCCTCCGTCGTTGTTGAAGGGACGAAACTAACCTGGTGTGAGCCTACTGATCTTGGACTATTCAAGTGTAGCTGTAGGGGTAGTACCGGTGTCTTTCTCATTGGCGGGAGAACTATTTTCTTCGTGGACTCCACTGTTCCAGCGTCCTTTTTTTCTCGGCACGATGATGGTTCGTTTAGATTTTGTTTTGAAAAAAATTGTTATTGCTCAACTAAATAAATCGTCCATGGGCATTGTTGTCTGCAGGAAGACGATCCCGCGCTAGGTGAGCCTTCACCTTCTTCTAATCCGGTACGTATTGTCAGTTGCAGTAAGGCTCTGGAGCTGGCTATGTTCCAATGTATCTGTTCTGTTATATAATTATTTTTGCACAGGCCACGTCGAACATCGATCTTTCAACAGACACATCGTTGGTCGTTGATATCTCAGACGCCCTCAGTGAGCATGAAAAAGTCAAGTTCACCGTACACACGAAGGTACTACACATCAATTGTGATTGTGAACCTTGAATTTCTTCATTCACACCACCACACGAATATTATTGTGCAAGGCTCTCACAATCACAGTTTCAGCATGAAAAGAAGAAAAAACATCTTACTTTACGAAATAATAAATACCTAAATAACATAATGCCATCAAGCTGGCCCGTAATGAACCCGGCACATGATTGTATACATCAATACGAATGAACGTGTGGAACGCACTGCATGTGTCCATGAGTCAGTTACGATTTTTTTTTTAATTTCGGCCAGTCGGCTACTAGTACTATCATTTCGTCTTGGGGGTTAGACAAGGGGAAGTAGCCATGTAGGGGCGTTAGCCCGCCTTTCGGCACCGGGAGTTGCAGCTCGCTCGACTTGACTCTACTGAGTGCAGAGGACCCACACCTTGATCTGGTGAGCTGCGTCGTGGGGATTTTGCAGTCAGATGTGCGACGACGATTTTAATGTGACAGTACAGAACCAGCCGATTTGTACGATATACATTTACTACCATAGCTAATCTGTATATGCATGAACCACTCATGTACCACCCTTGGAGCAGAGAAATAGCAACTGGCGAAAAGCCCACTCTTGCGAAGGAAAATCGACATCTCACTAGCAAATACACGTATACCTGGCTGGTATCTTGTTGACCCGTAGCTCACACTACCTACCAAGACGTTTCAAAGAACGGCTTGGTGGTTTGGAAACTTCAGCGCTACATACAATTGGCATTTCACGATTTTCGCGTTCATTTTGACAGTGGTTCATTTTCAACTTGCACTACAGTACATGTAATGCCAGCATGTCCCCAAAGCCGCATTCATTAGTGATTCAATTACTTGGGCATTTTGTTTTGGTGGCTAATATAGCCCGAATTAATTAGCTGCCAAATTATTGCATTTTACAGTGGTCTGTATTATTAAATGTACAGTCTACTCCTGATATAACGAACACCATGGTGCAGGAGAATTATTATACTAGGCCGAAGTTCTTTAGAACAGAAATGTACTCATTCCACACAAGCAACACGTCATGACTGATATGTGGCCTATTACTGTATGAGTGCACTTAGGTATCATACGGCCCTACAAGAAAAGGTTCATTACAAAGTGTCACCTTTGTAAGGGTTCAAACAGGGACAGGGACAATGGTTCGCTACTGTAAGACATGTTATTATAACGAGTCGCAAATTTAACGATTGTCCAAAATTCATAGGTTAACGAGAAGATATGTTAACGATCTTGCAGTATTCTGCCATATCCACACACAGCATATATGAAGCAGTACGGCCTCAACGGATCTTATTATAACGAAGAAATGTCATCCGTTAAAACGTTAGATTTGCTTCCTCGTTCTATATACATGTCTTACAGTATATCAAGAAATTACTATGGTAGTTTAACTAGTTTTATACGGGTTCGTTTTAAGTGGAGCCGACTGTATGTATTTGTTGTCGCGAATGATCAACACTGCCACGTGTGCACGCGCATGTGTGTGTGTGTGTGTGAAGGGGAGAGGTTGTCAAGTCAGTCAGCAGATGGACCTAGCATGATGAAAACAATCCTTCATTCCAAGTATATCCATGGTTTGAGATCTGTTATTTACTGTAAGAAGGTTTTCTTGGGCATTTCCCCTTTTCAATTCCGTCAGAATTCACGTTTGAAATTAATCTGGTTTGATTGTGTTGCAGACAACTCTACCCGAGTTTCGCCAGAGTGAGTTCTCCGTTGTTCGTGAGCATGAAGAATTTGTCTGGCTCCATGATCGCTATGTCGAGAATGAAGAGTATGCTGGTATCGTGGTACGTAGCTCTTGTGTAGCTCCTATGTTACGTCTGTAAATGTTGTATGTGCTGTAGCTCTACAAAGGCCAAGTTGTTGTAGTGTTGTTGTTATTGTGGTTGGCGGCGGCAGCCTCTATTCATCGTTTGCAAGTTCCAGTGTGTGATTTTCTCACTCTCTATCCTCTCACCCAACGTGTTGTAGATTCCACCTGCACCGCCGCGTCCAGATTTTGATGAGTCGCGCGATAAGCTGTACCGCTTGGGCCAAAGTAAGTACAGCATCAGTGTGTAAGGTATTCACAGTGTGTTGCTAAAGGGATGACCATGAGAGTTTTCCAGAGTATTCAAATTTGGTTTGAGGTTCTAGGGAGAGAAGAAACACACGGTAACACGGTGGCCCTGTTCCGGTGTTAGGAGCGGTGTTACCATGACGATGGTCGCCATTTTCTGATATGAATTTATCGTAATAACGCACATATAAGCACATGCGCTTATAAGTGAATTTTTGCTACGAATCCAATTTTCAAAAATGAATTTTTTTACCTAAACGCGCATGCGCGATCAGAGTTCGTTTGCCAGAGTCTTTGTGTTTGACTAGGTCTTGTAGTGTCAGTTTCATGGTTCCGGTATGCTGTTTGCAGACGTTTGGTAGTGCTTTGCCAATAGGAGCATGCGCTTATAAGTGAGAGTGCGCTTATATACGAATACAGGCACAAGCGCCTATATGTGCGGTACTATAGTATGAGCGAAAAAATGTGGGCCTAGCGTTTTGCTGGTTTTGTTTTGGAAAGATATAATTTCGTGGTGCGTGGCATACACTCACCTCCTATCGCTTTAGGCACTGCAACTATGCCTTTGAGAGTGATGGCGTTCTTGCAGATGCAGAAGAGCCGTTCTGGCTATCGTGCGAGCTGTAAAAGTTGTTATTTGTCATTGTGTACGCAATTCCCTGCTACACAGCAAATCACCTGTTCTTCTTTCCGAGTAGTTTCCCCTCTCTCTCGCTCTTGTAAGTATTATCAAACACGCAAGGAAAGCTGTCGAGATACCACTTGATCATTGATATCTTTGATGTCGCTCTGCATGTTTTGTTTTGTTTTTACAGGTGAAGGTCAGATGACCAAGGCAGAATTTCAAAAGATGAAGGCTGAACTTGAGGCGTATGTTTTTGTTGACACTCTACAGTTTTGACACCTCTCTTCTCTCTCTCTCTCTCTCTCTCTCTCTCTCTCTCTCTCTCTCTCTCTCTCTCTCTCTCTCTCTCTCTCTCTCTCTCTCTCTCTCTCTCTCTCTCTCTCTCTCTCTCTCTCTCTCTCTCTCTCTCTCTCTCTCTCTCTCTCTCTCTCTCTCTCTCTCTCTCTCTCTCTCTCTCTCTCTCTCTCTCTCTCCCCTTTCTGTGGTACCGGTAGTGGTATTTGGTCCTGTAACACCTTCTTCTTTCATAGTGTTGGTAAGCAGTAAGATCTACTTGGTCTGACTTATTAAAATGTGCGTTTCGCTTCGAACGTGAACCAAACAAATACAAATAATCTCAGGACGGAATAAACTTTACAGCGACCTAACACTATCCTTCAGTTGTCAATTTGTGATGTTGAAGAAGAAATGGCTTCAACTCCAACGGAGGCAGCGGCTCGGGATCCTAGTCGACTCGAGAATTGTGCGTCCAAATTTTGTCGTCAGAGGACTCCTGTTGCTTCTCGCGCAACACAGAGAACACCCCGCTGCGATGGGGGATTGTCACAGAGTACCAGAACCTCCTGGGCGATCGTTCTCGAGTGCCTCCTGGCGGATTGAAATCGCTGCAATCGCTGTTTCCTTGGCAGAATTTCAGCAAACGCGTCATCATCCAGAAACTCGTACAGAAAGCACCAGCATCGCTCTGTCCAGTTTGCTGAACTCTCTTGCAGTCGTTCATGATGTGGCGACCGACGAATCAAGATCACAGAAGAGATCGTTGAAAAGTTGATCGAGATAAATAACCGGCCTTGAGGTCGACTTTTAGGCGACAACCTGGCTGGAAAACTGAAGCGCAGAAAGAGTGAATTATCCGGCGGATACGGTGCGGAGTCCTCGGAGCCGCGATCGCGATGCGTCACAAGATCGCCAGTCTCCGGGGCCAGTGGATTCGTGAAACAGGCAGGCAAGAGCACGCGTACGCATGGTGTGACTGCATGACATGTCGACACAGATCAGACTAGACTCATGATCAGTAGACCTACGCGCGCGGTACACGGTGGTCAGAAGTTATTTTTATGCGTGGTGGTTTACTTGTTCGCCTCATTTGAAGGTGTCGTGGGAGCTTCAAGCGAAAACACCTACAGCCACCATTCTGGTAGTCGTACTGCACGAGGAGGAGGCGAAGTCGATCGTCTAAATCGTGCCTATGGAGTGAAAAAATTCAAAGAAGCGCAGTGTAGCTTGGAGGAGATGAAAAAAATGTCGACGTTTTGCAGGTTGACGCACTTGCAGATGCGCCCTGAGACACCAGCAGCGATGAAAACTAGAAGGCCAGGCCAAGAAATGACACAGTAGTTATCTATCTACCGTCTCTTGGTTGATTTTTTAGTACAGGTGCTCCTTTGTACATATGCTTGAGTTTTGAAGTGAAGCGCACATTTTAATAAATCGGACCAAGTATGATAAGCACCCATTGCAGTAAGAGGCGATTTACACGACGCCAGTGCATCCAGCCGAGAAGTGAAGCTCGTGATCCCGAGAGTTTGCCAGGAAAACGAAAATCAATTCACACGGCAGGATGCACTCACGGTACCTGTAGTACAAAACAGTCCACGAAATACCACGCAATGTTTTCTGTACTTGGGTACTGAAAATAGATTTGACTTTCTCTCTGCTGTGCCTTTCCTGCTTTCTGTGTGGCAGTGAGTACCTCGCCGAGTTCAAGAAGACAGTAGCCATGCACGAGGTGTTCTTGTCTCGGATTGCTGGCCATGCACGCCTGCGCAACGAGCATAACTTCCGTGTGTTCCTTGAGTACAAGGATGAGGTGAGGGCTGTTTTTTTTTGGGGGGGGGGGGGGGGGGTTCTACGTGCATAGCTGTCATCATGGACATTTGAAATGTTCGCTTTTAGTGCCAGACCACAACCCATCAGAAGTTGCACGCTGTTGGGAGTTTTGCACTCTTGGTTATATCTGTGTCACAAAGTAGAATGCTGGAATAAGACCACGTCCTCTAAAAGCCAAGTCTACTGTAGAGCACATATTAGAATTTGCTAGGATTTAATTTCGCTGGCTAGATTTATATGATCTATTCCCCACTATTGTACCCTAAACTTTTTCAGGCAAGATATACAAACTGCAATGTGACATAACACCTTTAGGGATGCGCCTCTGACACTTCAAAATCTGGTGCGGTGCATGACTGACCCTGGGCAGAGAGCTAGCCTGACTGTCTCGTTCACTGATGTACAGCTATGCAGGGAGAATGCATAGGTGCGAAATCCATCGTGTTTGTCTGTCTGACACCACACTCGACTGTTTCGTTGTAACTTGTCTGCTGCAGCTGCAAGTGCGTGGCAAGAACAAGAAGGAGCGTCTTGGTGGGTTGTTCAAGAACCTGGGAAAGACCGTAGATGAAGCAATGTTGGCTAACTACAAAGTGAGTACTGATGCTAGAGTTTACCAGGCACACAAAAATGACTTGTTGATATCCATTTTGATTTGGTGTATTGTATCTTGATATTGGCCGCGAAACTGGCCAGACGATCGGCAAACCTACTTGTATTCCGGGGGCGGGGAGTACCCAAGAGTGTATAACTCTTTGGGGTTTCCTACGGCAAAATTTCACATCACGTGTTCCAAGTACGCGTTGTTCTGCTTCAAAATATGTTCATATACAGTGGGTACCAGCGTTTGCGCAGTCCGAATGTATCTGCCTTGATCATGTTGAAAAGTTGCATAAGCTGAGTGGGCTGCGGTCAGGGAGTGCTATTTTTAATACCAGGACTCCATTATTGCAACAATCTCTCCTCCCCTTCTCCTCCATGCGCTTTCAGCCAACGCGTTGCTATTATCAAGAGTACTACAGTCCATTTCAAAACTATAGACGCGCAGTGTTTTTGAAATATTTCAAATTTGGCTGGAACTTTTTGAAAATAGTTTTCGGATTACTGCTCAGGTCCGCTCCACAATTACTCTCATTATAGTTTCTAAACGATTTGATAACAGACGCCCAATTTGGAAAAAATTATGCACAAAGTGATCACAGATTTTATGTGGTGTAGATGCTGGCATAACGGTTTTTGCCTAGGTACGCGTCTATAGTTTTGAAATGGACTGTAGTACATAACCCCCAATGCTAACTAAAACAGTTTGGAACATGCAACGTGAACACTACAACGTCTGATGTGACTTTTTGCCTTTGTCTGACCCCATAATAAAACCCATGCAGAGTTGCACACTCAGGAGGATATTTTTGTAGTGGCAGAATACTTTGTAGTACTGTGCCCGAATGGCGGCATGCACCTCTCCGGTTACATGGCTCTTGGCCTCAAACAATTGCCCCTATTGTTTTGTCATGATTTCTACGCTGTTATCCTGTAGGATGTGGATGAGTCGTTTGAGAAAGAGAAGACCTTTTTGTCGGCCTACCATGTCAAGTAAGCATGGTGTTCTGTGTTGTGCTTCAGATTCCAAAATTCTTGTTGCTGCTCAGATTCAGACTTTTTTCTCCGCACTCTTCAGCATGCCACCTGCTTGCTGAAACGTGATGAAAACAGGACGAGAGTGATCCAACCACGCCGCCCCCTCCAGCCGGACCACCTCCAACGGCGGTGCTACACACCTGAACTAACACACCAAAGAGTAAAGACAAACGAATTAAAAAGACAGAAAGGAAGATCACACATGGGTATGTGGTGGACGTGGAACTAATTCACAGACAGGAAGACGAAAGTATAAATGCTACCAGTTCGGGCAAAACAACGTTATGGCGAATGGAATCGGGTGTGGAAACCTTCCAAAGCATCCAAGAGAAGTACAGAATGTCAAGCTTCAGGGTAAAGACAACCCATGCGAAATAGTATCTGGAGGGGGACGTATCAAGAGGTGCAATGTAGTGCAATTGGTGTGATACAGTGAGCTGTAAAGCAGCACGTGGGGAAAGAAATAAGCACAGCGAGTTGTCTGTTTAGTATTCAAGTGTGTTCACACGTACACTGATTATCAGTAAGGTAACCTCTTCCGTGCAACATAGAACGCAGCCGATGAACATCCCGAGTCAGCTGTCAGGCCAGGGCCTCGAGGGAGCCAGCACCGGCGTGCAATGATGTGATCAACAGAGGAGAGTAATCCAGGGCAAACCTTACATGGGTTCTAGTTCATTCATATACTTCAAAAGTAGGTACACGTGAAAGGTCATTTCCACTTACTACAGAGTACAGTACGTTCACTGGCATTTGTTGAGACATTGATCAGTTTGGTTTGTTTCCACGCTGGTTATTGTGCAGGGTTAAGGATGCCACTCGATTTGCTGACAGGATGACACGTTCTCATAAGGGTAAGATATCCGCTGCGCAGCGGTGTTCACTACTTGCCATTCATTGCTTTTTTGCAGCCTGGCTCTTTTTTTTCTCTCTCTATTTATGTATCATCTATTTCTCGCTCCGAATCTCTCTTCGTATCCGTCTCTCTGATGATGGCTTTGCATGGCATGTCTTTTGCAGGTGTTGCAGATTGCCATATTCCCATTGCCATTTGTCTACATCAGCTTGGAACAAGCGATCCCACTGAGCTGAGCAAGTAAGTTTAACACCTTTGCTTAGGAGTGGACCATGCCCCAGACTGCTGTGTTGCCCCGTGAAGTACAAGCTCGTAGACCACCTTTTCCCCAGTAGATGTGCCATGCTTTATCTTGTACTGCATTTCTACTTTTTCCCATGGTCTCTGGAGTGGTGGGATGACTTGCACGCTGCTGCTGCTACTGCTTATACTCCACTATCTCTGTTATCCTGTGTGTCTCCATAGGTTCTTGACAAAGATTGGTGAAACGTTTGAACGGGCACGGGTAGGTGTTTAGGTACTACTAGTACTACATGTAGTACCATTCTAGCTTTGCATGGTTTGGTGTTGATCAGTGTGTGTTTTGAGCAAGTTGCATGGCTGCCACTTCTCGATGTCAGCACATGTAATAGCACTGGAAGTGAAATAACTTTCTCCGTGTAAGCCTACACTGGAAATCCTCTGCATGCCGAGCTGCTAGTAGTGTGGTTCTTTGGCGATGTTGACATTCAGTCACAAAACATTATAATTACTGGCACATTGAGAAAGTTCTTTTCTCTTTTCTTTGCTCTTTTTTGCTGCTGCTTAGAAACTTGAAGGCCGTGTTTCGTCCGATTGTGATCTAAAACTATCGGATACGCTACGTTACTATGAGCGGGACTCTCAGGCTGCACTGGTAAGGCGCTAGTCTTGTCTTTTCTTGCGTTCAACCCTTCCTTGGCACTGTTCCTGTACATAGCCTTTGTGTTGTGTTCATGCCATATCACCACCCTAACCGTTATGGCCGATTCCTGTTGATCGTTGGTGTGTTTGCCAAACCTCTATACACGAGTCTTTTTTGTGGGCATCCCCCACCCCCCCCCCCCCCCCCCCTTCTGCCAGGCATGGTGTACAGTAAGTATCGTTTATAAAGTGACCGGATATAATGATATACCGGTTATAGTGATAGAACACATCAAAATCAAATCAGAAAAAATATCACTATATACACTATTATCGGCTATACCGATATATCGCTTATTGTGATGGACTTCAGGAAGCAAACCATATCAAATGTACAGGAAAATATCGCATATAATGATCAAGAGTGATGATCACAAATGTCCGTTTCTGGCTGTGCTACCCCTCGCAATGTGCTCCCTTTGTATGCTCTTGTCCGTTTCTGTATGCACATGTCCTTTTCTGGCTGCGCTACCCCTCGCTCCCTTTGTATGGTCTTGTCCTTTTCTGTATCTTTCTGCATGCTCTTGTCCGTTTCTGGCTGTGTTGCCTCTAGGCCTCCGCGGAATGTGCCGGCATAATTTCGGGAATTATCGGTGTGATTTTTAAAACGGGAATTCTTGGCAATTTTTGTGGAATAATCGGTAACATTTGAGCAATGCCCCCCTTTTTCAATTTTTTTCCATTTATAACACCCTGATTTGTACCAAAAAGCTTGTGATCCTGAAGTTGATCGCCCGGTATTTCAAAAAAGAAAGAAAAAAAGCTGAGTTTCACGCGAACCGTGATATTTTTTGCCCGTACAAATGGCAAAAAAACCCGTACGCGGTACGGTATCTGCAAAAAGGGAAGAAAAAAGCATTATTGTGAGAGTTATTGGTGGAATTACAGGAATAATCGGTCGAAATTTTGAGCAATGCTCAAAAGAATTATCGGTAAAAATACGAGCATATTCCGCGGAGGCCTAGTTGCCTCTCACGATGATGTTGCCAACTCACGTACACAGCCACTCATGTCTATTTCTGGCTCTACGCAACTCGTTGGACACCGAGTAGATCTACGTGAGTACGGATCCAGCTCAGGCTTTTTTTTGGAGAACACGCTGAAGAAGCAGCCATGCCACATGATGTATCGAAGTTCTAGTACATGTACAGTCTGTACTCGTACTGCACTGCCATGCACTGCTCTGTGTCATGCACCGGTACACAGTCCGCGGAGCATGCATGCACTTTCAGCATGCTTTTTCCAGCGTGTACGCATCATTTCATGTGCAGTCATGTGCCATGTGTCGGTCAAACATGCAAATCGGCTATAGTGATGCACCGGATATAGTGATAAATTTTCGAAAATCAAAGGGGCACGTTATATCCGATATTTACTGTACTTTCCTTCAGCATAGTTTGTCTCTGTTGTCGTTTTTCATCCCAGGATCTGCTTTACCGCCGCACTCGCAGTCTCGCCAACCTCGAGAAGTCCAACAATGCCCTCACCAAGGCAAGGACGAAGGGCAAGGGAGTAGCGGAGGTAGGTGTTGAGCTTTTCTGTGAGCTTTGCAAGTACGTTTGCCCCTGTCTGTGTGATTGTGTGTCTGTTTGTTGGCTGTCGATGGCTAGTTTTCTTGGGGAAATGACCCTAGCCAGTGCCATGTTGTAGCTGATTTGTAATGTTATGTTGTATTACCGGTATGCGTGTAAAACCATGTGCTGTTGAAGAATCCTGAATGGAGAGATCGGTATCATATCGACCTACAGTTGTGCTCGGTGAAGTCCGACCCAAAGTGCATATCTGGCACCCTCAACTTGCACGGCCCTTGACGCCCTGTGAGTGGTACGAATGCCGCTGGATGTACACATGTGCCAGTACAGTGATGTAATCTGAACTGGTCCGGGGCGCCAGTTTTGCACTTTGGGTCGGATTTCAGTGAGCGCAACTGTATATAGTTTTTTTCTCCTTCAGCTCTTCATTGCCTTAGTAGTTCATTGTCTGCATATACCTTATTCTCTGGTGCTGATGCTGGTGTTATTTTGCGGTCAGGCTGAGGCCGCTCAGAAGCTGTGTGAGGAGAAATTCAACCACCTCTCTGAAATTGGAAAGCAAGGTATGTGTCTGTTTTTGCCTGAATGCTCGTGCACGCACGAACGCGCATGTATGTGAGTGTGTGTAGGATGTGTGTATGGGGGTCATATGCATGTGTTGAATGAAAACTTGGATAACAACGGTCAACCATGTTTCCCCTACCATTGTACAGGTGCCCTTTTGCCCCCAGAATATTGTGTACAGAATAGTATTGCCATAGAATATTCAGTACATGTACTGTAACTTGGGAGTCTTTTGTAGCTTGCAAGTTTTGCATTTTCAAGAACACTGGTTCACAATGCTATTTTGTCCGATTTCACCTCTTCAGTTAGATTGAGTAGTGCCTGTGTCTGCACCACAATGCACGTAGCAATTAGCAGTGGTTCTAATTTCCAGATGCGCGTTTATCGCGAATGAAACTAACGGCGTTGGATCACTCGCAAACGTTTCATAGAGTTCAATTTTCGTGGCACGAATAATCCACTGATTATTTGCTGGATACTGTAAGACATGAATATATAACGAGGAAGCAAATCTAACGTTTTAACGGATGACATTTCTTCGTTATAATAAGATCCGTTGAGGCCGTGCTGCTTCATATATGCTGTGTATGGATACGGCAGAATACTGCAAGATCGTTAACATATCTTCTCGTTAACCTATGAATTTTGGACGATCGTTAAATTTGCGACTCGTTATAATAACATGTCTTACAGTATGTTGAAAGGTCTATTATAAAATACTTTTTCACTGTTAAGGTGTATTTCTTGCTCGTCTTATTCTTCTTCTATGCTGTCACTTGCTTTCAGAACTTGGCAACTTCAAGGCTCGCCGGCTGACGCAGTTCCGTAAAAACATGGTAATGCAAATATTGATGCTACATTGTGTGTCCAGTTTTGCACGTAGCGTGGCATGTAGCGTGTCAATTTAGCTGCACTGTTGCTGCATATGGAGTCTTGTTTCCCCGGCATTGTGCATTCTTCCAGTGTTTTGCTAACTGCAGTCTTGTTGGGTGGTATGCGTGTCTGTGTTGCCGGTGTGCACGTTTGCATCTGCTTGTGTTCATGTTCTTGCTTCCACCAGACTGAGCTTGCTGAGTTGCAAATCAAGCATGCCAAGGTAAATGTTTTTCCTCTTCCATTGAGACCTTGCTTATAGGTTAACCCCAGTCCTGATACAAGGCTTTTTTTATTAATCTGTACTTGCCTCCTTCGATAAAGCACTATTACTTTGTGTTGATTGGTAAAGGTCAGATTTGAATTGACTATGCGATGGTACCAAAACTGTGGAATAATGATTTTTCACTGCAATGTTTGTTAGCTTTGACGAGACGGTTTGTGCCGTCCAGAGTGCATGAGAAGGCCAGTGAACCCGGCACCTGAAAGCAGAAACACTCCTTGCTGAAGAAGACACACATGTTTGTCGGTGGTCCCTTCTCTTTAGTTGAGTTTGAGTAGGCTTATCTTCTCTTTGCTGTAAACCACCATTTAACCCTGGGATGCCATGGATTTCACAAAGTACACTGTTGCATCGGAAAACTGAGCCCGTTGATTTCTTTGTAGGTACTTCGATTGTGAGATTCTCTCAAAGTTTCGCTGAGTTACAAACCACTTTGGCCCTTCTATCACAAAGAAATGATGTTTCCTCTGTTCTCAGCTGTTCTCTCGCCTGCATTTGCCCGAGAAATGATATTCGTCTGGGAAATGCATACTGTAAAGCATGTAATTTTAGGTGCATTAAGATTTCGGTGCCAGGGACCTGCCAGGTTTCAGGTGTAATGCAGAACTAGTTGACCAGCTTTCCCTTCACATACAGTGCACACTGTAGTGCCTTTTAGGTATAATTTAAATTTAGGTGCTTGTTTTCTCTACCGAAATCGCCGAAGTTAAAGTCACACCGAGAATAACATGTTTTACAGTACTGTACAGGCAGAAAATTTCGTCCAACTCCAAAGAAAGGGATTTCGTCCGGTTGAAAGTTTAGTCCATGGACTATAACAGTGTATTGAAACGCTGGACAAATCGACATTCGTCCGGCACTTAATTTAGTTCCAAAGCTCCTTGGACGAAAAAGACGAAATAAAATTCCAGACGAATATTTCTGCTTGTACAGTATCCACTTTGCTGTAGGTACCGGTATGCATAATGTGGTCTCGAAATTCGGAAAGCATCCGAATATGTTTGTGCCATGTCTGTACACCCGTTAGTAGGGCCGTTACTCATCCCATGTGCTGTTGTGTCTCCCTATGTGATTCTCGGCTTTCCCTCCAGGCTCAGTTGAAGCTTCTCCGCGAAGTGTCGGAGGCCCTACAGTAACCCCCCGGCCATGCAACAATGCGGTTGCTGCTCTGATGCGGTTCAATGCACCAGTATACACTGCTTTGCTCATGACTGTTGCGACTAGCTTGTTCTCCAGGTGCTGATGCTTGGGGCAAATATTGTGTTAATATTGCTATCAGTTGTCCCATGCCTTGTGCGTGTTCCGTGTGTTCGGGAATGTTGAATGTTTGCACGCCACACCCCTGCTCAAGTGCACATCGATAGCCTTTTTTTGGTCACACTTTTACTACTTGTTTTCATGCAGTCAACCAAGCACTCAGCCTAGTGCATCAATGAAAACTCTTTTTTTCGAATGCGGCTTTCCGGTTGCTTGTCTCTGTTATGTGTAGATGTGTTGGTTGAATTGTTCAATTGGTATATCTTTCTGTGCTGTTTTCTGTCATTCGGAAACCTGCTGACTGTGCTGCAGAGTTTGTTCAATTTTTATCCATCTTGCTAAATTTGCTATGTTCTACAATACTCGAAAAAATTCCAATAACTTTATTTCTCATCGTCGCCCATGAAATTCGTCGAAACTTTTTTTTCTTTTTTTTAATGTGCCGTGCTGTTGTCCTGCGTCGTCTACTAGACTGTTCCCAGCTGCATGTTGGAATAATGCCAATGATTTTATTTGCACACTCTGTTTTCAGCATGCAAGCACTTATTTGAAGAGTTCATTAGAGGAGAGAAAGGAAAATCCCATTCTTCTTTTTTCTGCAGGAACTTTCCCAATCATTCTTGTTTTAGGTGGCTGTTATCCTGCCGATAGCAAACAGTTTGCATTGAAATTATAGTTCAATCTGACAATTATCTTTTGCCAAAGCGCTGGTTCGAATTTCGTATGCAGTGTATTCCACTTCTCTCTTTGTCTTTGTGCTTGTTTTGTACATGCACAGCCTTTGTACGATGCATGCAAGTTTGTGGCACCGCTTCACCTGCCCGGTATGTTATCAAGTCCCAGCAATGGGTCGTACGAGTCCCTGGCTATTACAGTCTGTATCGGCTATAGAGTGACCGGATATAAGAATATATCGGCTACAGTGATATTGGTACGAAATATCAAAAGCAAAAACGTATTTTATCCAGGACAAATATCACTTTGAAGAAGGGCTGAGGCTTCCTGCAGCTTCATCTGTGAAAAGAATTCGGGTGGACACACCCATTCCCATAGCGCTGCACATCACATCCGAACCAGTTCCGTTATTTTTTACAACGTTTCGGCACTTGGCCTGACGATGGCCAAGTGCCGAAACGTTGTAAAAAATAACGGAACTGGTTCGGATGTGATGTGCAGCGCTATGGGAATGGGTGTGTCCACCCGAATTCTTTTCACAAATATCACTATAACCAAGAGTACATAACCCCCCAGAGTGTGCAACTCCCACATACCCTGTTGTCCCGACAGAATTTCAAGTTGACGTCATTATTTATGACGCAATGCTCCTTGCAGCAGTGATTTACAACATGTGTACGGGTGTCAACGCATCACACGTTTTTCTTTGCAATAATTTGTACAGGATCGATCGGCTTCGGTCAACCACAGGTTCCGGATTCGTCTGATAATCCGTGTACAGTGCGCATTGCATCATCAAAATGACGTCAACTTGAAATTCTGTCGGGACAGCACCCATACTGGCCATAGTGGAGTTGCACACTCTGGGGGGTTATGTACTCTTGCTATAACCAATATTATCGGATGTAATGATAAGTATATAATACAACCCAACAGTACGCTTGTACGTGAAATATAAACCGACATACAACCCCGAGGCGAAGCCGAGGTTTGTATGATGGTTTATATTTCACGTACAAGCGTACTAGTGGGATGTATTATACTTATGCTGACCTTCATACAAACTGACAGTCAACTTCTTCCTGTTTCTATGGTGGCGGTCTATATGGGGTTTGTATGAGGTATGAGGTTGATATGCCCAGTATAAGCTGCCAGTATGATGGGCAAGTTGACTGGAAGTTTGTATGAAAGGTCAGCTTAATAATGATATATCGGATATTATGATGACAACAAAGAATCAAAACATGCATAACACACTATATTAGTATCGGCTTTTGTGATAACTTTAAAATACATGTAGCAATAATATCAAAGGCCCTATTTTTTACTTCACGTTGCTTATTTTTATAGTGATACATGTACATGTACATAACAGAATTTTTTTATGGAAATGCAGGCACTGTCAACCAGGGAGTTGACGACTCCCTGCTGTCAACTATGCAGCATGCTCATTTCATTTGTCAAAACGCCATGCTGGAAGTGCTATTTCCTTGCCTTTCATGTGTCGATCGAAAAAAGAAAAAAATCGATCGTATCGCATACATGTATAGTGATGCATCGGTTTAGTGATAAAATCACGGAAATCAAAAGGGTACGCTATAGCCGATACAGACTGTACTCTGATCAAGAGTACCGTAAATAAGCTGGCTGCTAATGTACTCCTGCTGTAATGAATATGAAAAAATGATGTTCACGTCATTCCATGCGTAGCTTCACACAATTAGCTTTGTCGATAAACGGATAAACCCATTCTCATGTACTCGTACAGACGGTGTATATCAGGGAGTCGTAAACTCCCTGGTGTATTATACTAGTAAATCAAAACTAATGCTCAACGTCATGTGTGGTTCCAACCAAGGAGTCGTATATACCCAGTATACTGTATATACGACTCCCTGGTTCCAACTCGTGTCAAAGGCAACAGCAGACAATGTTACATGTATCAACAAGAGTCCATAAACATGTCTACTACAGTAGTAAGCACTCTGCCTCTCTTGGTACATGTACATGTATCAAGTCTTTCAAGAGTCCATAAACCATGTAAACAGTTACTGCCTAGGTCCTATGGTCACCATTACTGTTTATGGTGCTATGGATTCTTGGTGGTGTCACCATGGTCACTGACTGGTGTGTTGGCAGTGTTGCCCTTTCTTTTATCAAGAGTACATAACCCCGGCCCCAGATCAGAGTGTGCAACTCGACTATGGCCCATGGCATGGGTGCTGTGACCATGGTGACTGCTGTCCCGACAGAATTTCAAGTATTAAAGTTAGTTTTACCAAGATCATGAAACCCGTTTTCATGTACTCTTGGTTTTACTTTTTTTTTAAATGGATGGGTTGACATGACGTCATGACATTGCCAGAAGTCTGTTATTACGTCACATGTCCACGAGAAACCAAGCATGCAAAATTAATAATTATTTGAATTCAAATGTGTAAAATTTTACCTTCGTAGGATCTAGGATCAGGACCGACCGGTCGACCGTCAACACGACAACAGGTGTCATGCACAGTCACTACAGTGAAGGTCTGCAAATTATTTTACGATTGAAGAACAGTTACCTTGCAGAAGAACAAGGATAGGCACTGCTGCTCCTGCTGGTGCTATAGGTCTGCCACTCATAGCACCACCTGAAACACGGAGTTGTTGCAGTCCGTTTTCCGGACAAAGGCGATCATAATATTATTATTATTATTGTCTGGCAATAGATCACAGGTGGAGACCAATAAACTCCTGGACCTAGGGATAACCACTCTTCATCACTGCCACTGAGTACGCTCTGCATAACGCATGATGGTGTCGTTTTGTGTCTCGGTGTTGCTGATTAGCATTGTGGCTCTTGCTGAAGCTGCGAAAAAGCCACGTGGAGAGCTAAAGATAGACGTGCTGGAGAAGCCAGAGTCTTGCAGTTTGCTGGCAGCGAAAGGGGACAAAGTTGGCATCCACTACACAGGCACCCACACCAGCGGTGAAGTGTTTGACAGTTCCAAAGGCCGCTCGCCGTTCTCCTTCAAATTGGGAGATGGAAAGACTATTGCAGGATTTGACCAGGGTGTTGTTGGCATGTGCATTGGCGAGAAGAGAATGGTAACCGTGCCTCCTCACCTTGGTTACGGTGAAAAGGGCCACCCGCCGGCTATTCCTCCAAGTGCTACGTTAAAGTTTGAAATCGAGCTTGTTGAGTTGGACCAAGCTTCCGTCTTTTCCTCTGGTAGCTTTGGCACAACGTTCAATACCGCAGCTCCCCTGTTTCTGCTGGGTGTCGTCATCTACTATCTCTACAACAAAGCTCAAAACGAGGATACGTCAAAGAAACGCCCCAAGCCGAAAGCAGCAAGGAGACGCTGAGACACAAGTTCTCGAACAGCCGATTTGCTAGTGTCAACTTGGCACTGTCTCAGTGCAGTTGGAAGAGACTTTCCTAGTTTCGGAAAACATCGGCTGCTCCTCATTCAGAAGCTTCACTGAATGTGTACTAACTTGTCTACGACTTCTATCTTGTTTAAAATATTTATTAACAATTTATTGGTCCAGAATCTTACAGATTGGATATTCTTGTGTGAATGTTTTCTCCACTGGACTGCTGCACTGTGCAACTCTACTTCAGCGTATTCAACTGCACACTTAGCAGCCCTCCCCGTTCCAATACTAGTACTAGTACTGGTATGCTCCTTACCTCCCCTCACCCCCTCCCCACATACCCAGTAGTAGGGATTACTGTACTAGTGCTACTAGCTGTCTGAAAGACGACAATTAAATTATTATCAGAGTCTGAGTTTCAGTCTGGATCCGAGGCAATTTTGCTTGTTGGTTCTCCGTTTCCCCCAACTGCAGTTCCTTGTGCTTGTAAGCTGCCGTGGTTCAGGGAATCATCGCAAACCAATATTAATTTGATGACAGTTTCCTGGTGCCGGCACTGACCAATGACTGACCATCAACATGCTTTCAGGCCTGGTTTGTTCTTCAAAGTACATGCTATCAGCGAAATGGGAATGCTATGGAAGACTAAAATATCTGTACAACTACCGAGAGGGAGGGATAGTTTTTTTGCGCTTGTCGATTACCCCAGGGCTAAGTTTATCGATCTGATTTTCACTGGCCACATTCACAACCATGATATGACTTTGATTACGTACGGATAATGAAATAATAATGAAGGCCGGGGTTTACCCAAAATGTAGGTTTATCATCTGCGTGGATGTATTGAGTTCACTGGCAAATATCGACTTCTGGCAGAGTTTTCAAAGGCTCCATATCCAATCTGCGAACATAATGTACTAAAAACCGGTTTTTAGTTTTTACTATTAATTTTTTTAGTGGTCTGGCTGAGTTGACTCTGCTGATCTGCTAGACAGTCTGTAGTCTAGATATCTACTGAGTGTGGCCTGGCCTGTGCATGTGGCATGTGTGTGGGCGCCATGCATGCCACGGAGTACTAAAAACCTGTTTTTTTAGTACTCCGTGGCATTTGTTGCACTTGCCTTGGCATTCCCTTGGCCCTAACTTGCGTGGGCAGGGTCATCCCGATCGCGACTCATCCGATCGTCATCCCGCGGTACCGGTTGATCTGCATATCTGACTCAGCTCGATCTCGTTCTCATCAGCTCACTGCACTATTCTCATTTTTTGTGCCTGTCGTTCATTCCAAACAAAGTCCAGTGCAAATCAAGTGTTGGTGTGGAATTATTGTTTCCAAGCTGTATAGTATTGTTGACCTTTGCAGTTGACTTTTGAATGAACCGTCTCTGAGAGGAACCACCACGGGAAGGAGAAGAACCCGCCGCGTCTTTCTGCCACCATGCCGTTGGCCCACACTCACCCATGGGGCGTGGATTCCAAAGTCGTGGGAGCAGCCTCAGCCGGCCACGTAAGATTTTCACCCAGATATTTTAGTTTGCTGTGATTTGATCAAGGGGATTCCTGCGAACAATGATGTTCAGGTCTGATTTCTCATCACCCTCCTACTGGGGGGTCAGAATGGAGCAGTTGCCAGGATTCTTTGGTTTGAATTTGGTTTCCGTTGTTACCTCGTTCCGTGCGGATGAAGCCTATTTCAATTAGCTTGCTTTCAGTTTCTGCGATGATTTTGACTTCCTATTTCTGAAACGTGAACTGTTGTCTTTGTTTTCCTTTACGGCTTTAGCACGTTGCTGCGCTGGATGAATTCAAGGAGGATCACGTTTTACCCATTGTAAGCTCACGTGTAGTTGTGTTGTCACTGCAGTTAGCACTCTTTTGCAGGCTAAATGTCGTCTCGGGATTGTTTGAATTTCGAATGTGCTGCATTACTGATATGAAAAGTTAAAAAATCATGTGAGGAACAACAAGCGCCGAAAGCAAAGCTTCGAACACCCGTTTGGTGTGAAGTGAAGTAGTGTACTTGGCTGGCTGTGAAAATAATGGCTTTTTGATTTGTCCCTCGATGCCTTCCAGGAGAAAGAACGTGATTTGGATGTAGCAAAGCTGATTGCTGATCGTGAAACTGAGGAGGAAGAGCATGTTACGACGGACGATTTCGAGCTTCTCAAAGTCTTGGGTCAAGGCTCTTTCGGGAAGGTATGTTCGATATCGGTCATTTGTATGCTGAGTTCCTTCCGGATACATTGTCGTACGTACGATGCACATTATTTGTATTTTTTAAAGTTCCTGTGGATTATTCAGTCTGTACGCTTCATGAATCATTCAATGATCGTGTACACCATTTTCTAGGTTTGGAAGGCATTTTTATTAGAAGAAAGGGTGCTATCCTGAACATCGTGCTCTTGGTCACGTACTCTTGGTCACGTACTCTTGGTCACGTACTCTCGCTAATATTCCTGACACTCTGGTATCAAGTGTATAGAAGCTCCCCAGAGTGTGCAACTCCTGATACCCTTTCTATGGGGTTTGCCGACGGCGAGACCTCACATCACGTGGTGTAGTGTTCTAGTAGTACATTTCCAGCCCGTTATAATAGCGAACAGCGGAGTAATAACCAAAGTACTCTCTGACAGAAACTCACTGCGCGTATGCAACTCGCCAACACGATCATGGCAGATATTCGGATTGCACGCACGCTATCCTTTGCTTTACGTAGTACGAAACGTACCGGAGACCCGTGATGTGAGTTTTCGCCGTCGGAGACCCCATCTGCAGAGTTGAACACTCTTGGGAGCTTGTTTACTCTTGCTGATAATTTTCGGTATGGGGCCCTACTGATCAGGTAGAAATTGCGAACACTCTCTTCTATTTCTTTGTTGGACTCCTACCTACTCCTACCTAAGAACACGGGGCACCCACAACCATGTAGAAATGGTGGGGGGGGGGGGGGCATCTTATGTAGAGTACGTAAACCAGAGAGCTCACGTTTGGCCCAGGGCGGACTTTTCTTATTGACGTTAACTTCTAGTATGGGGTCATGAGTCGTACTGTTCAGCCATGTGAACTTGGCCGGGTTGCGCACTCTGCTTTTTGTACTCTTGGTCTTATTGATCACCGTTGTATGTATATATGTCACAACCAAACCCAGCACATTGAAGTGAACTTTTTTTCTTCTTCTTTATTTTGTGCTCCCATGTAATCAAATTCTGTTATCACAGGTTTTCTTGGTCCGCAAGAAAACCGGTACAGATGCTGGTATACTGTATGCCATGAAAGTGCTGCGAAAGGCCACTCTGAAAGGCAAGCCATTTGTTTGAGTGTTCTTGTATTGCTCATGCGCAGTTATATATTATTACACTGATGCATTCTCTCTTTTTCTCTCTCTCTTTCTCTCTCTCTCTCTCTCTCTCTCTCTCTCTCTCTCTCTCTCTCTCTCTCTCTCTCTCTCTCTCTCTCTCTCTCTCTCGCTCTCTCGCTCGCTCTCTCTCTCTCTCTCTCTCTCTCTCTCTCTCTCTCTCTCTCTCTCTCTCTCTCTCTCTCTCTCTCTCTCTCTCTCTCTCTCTCTCTCTCTCTCGCTCTCCTGTATTTTCTTTGTATATGAGATGGCATTTGCAGTGTGTATTGTGGGCAGACTTTCACCTATTTGTTGTGGTTGTTGTTGCAATTCTACTGAACGATACCGGAATGCGCATGGACCAGCGTTTCTTCAAACTTGCCTTTCCAGGCTGACATTAGCCGTGATCCATGCTGTGTGTTCTCATTGTGTACAGTTCGGGATCGTGTTCGCACAAAGATGGAGCGAAACATTCTTTCAGATATTCAGCACCCGTTCATTGTGTCCATGAAATATGGTAAGGCGGTGTTGTGAGATGTGGTTTGAAGACTCCAGATGCAGCGCTCTAGTCTGTAGAATGGCAGTCAACACCCCCCCCCCCCCCCCCTCACACACACCACCCGCACTCCAGACATCACACACTCTATCTAGCTGCAAACAATGTCACATCTTGCGAATCCATGCTGTCTCCTTCTCACTGTCACCATCAGTGCTGGGTTGGATTGGGTTTGTTGGGACTGTGGCTGTTACCCTAGCCATCATTGGCAAAGTCTGATTCTGGGCTGTCTTCTGGTCTCGATGGATGTAGGTTTGTGTGGGTGTGCTTGGGTTTGATATCCACGGCCATAGGGTCGCAGCATTATCCTTTGTTTGCGCGAGAGCATTGACAAAGAATGTTTTGCTGCGTCGGTATGCATTGCAATCCAGCAGTGATGAGTGCCACCCATTGCATTCCTGTGCCCAGACTGGCTGATAAATTATTTCTTGTTATTTGTTGCTGCTGCTGCCGCTGGTGTTGTGGTTGTTGTTTTTGAATTATTTATTCTCACTTTGTTGTTGTTGTTGTTGTTGTTGTTGTTGTTGTTGTGTTTCTCCTTTGTGCACACTAGCATTCCAAACCAAGGGCAAGGTCTACATGATTCTAGAGTTTTTACGCGGTGGTGATCTTTTTACTCGTTTATCCAAGGAGGTACGTCCTGCAATGAGCGTTATCTCCGCTGTTTCTAGTGACAGTGACAGCGGCGATTTTGCCGAGTTACATGTGTGGGGGGGGGGGGGGGTGTATGTAGATTTAGCCTGGCCATGGCGAAAGCCAGCTGACTTTCCTCCTTGCACAGTTCGAGACTTGAAGTGCTTGACTAGAGGAATGTCTGCGAGTGGTATGGCGCCCGGTCGTCCTCCCGGACTTGGTCGTTCATCTGTGGAGCGTTTAGGAGAATGTGTGCGTCGGCGCTGTAGGCGATGTATGTGCTTTGCTGGCTGTCTCTCCTATGTGCTGTTGGCAGGTGATGTTCACTGAGGAAGATGTCAAGTACTATCTGGCCGAGCTGGCTCTCGCGCTGGATCACTTGCATTCGCTTGGTGTTATCTACCGCGACTTGAAACCAGAGAAGTATGTTTAGGCTGGTGGACAGTATGTTTAGGCTGGTGGACATTGGTTTAAGTATGTTTAGGCTTGTGGACATTGGTCTTTAGTTAGACTCGGGTGTGGAGAGTCAAGGATTAATTTATAAGAAGAAAGGTCCTTTCTTCTTAAAGGGGAAGTTAAGGCAACAATTAAAATTTCACCAGTTGTAGTCTTCGGGGTGCTGAGTCGAATGGTCTTGGTCCGAGAAAGCTGAGACGCTCCCTTCCTACTTGAATCCCAATTGAACTCGCGCACTTCCACCGAAACTGGGTGACTGCGCCCTACTAGATGGGGATTTGTATGCAAAATGTCACTAAAAGCGCCATTTCGTTCTTCTAAAAGCACGGATGACCGCGATTGGCCCATATGTTGTAGTCTTTTGGACGCTGAGTCGACTGGTTTTGGTCCGAAAAGGCTGCGATGCAGCGTTCATCCTTTATTCCCAATCGAACATGGTTGGACAAGCGGTCACGTGCTCCTGGGTGCCCAAATCACCTGGTCATCACGCCAGCAGGCGACAACTTTCACACCAAGGTTCAACTCGAGTTCAACTCGAGTGACAGGACTGCACCCAAAAAAGGTCAAACAGGCTAGTAAGTTGTACCCTGCAGGCACGGTGACCAGGTGACTGGTGTACGCAGGAGCACGTGACCGCTTGTTCAACCATGTTCGATTGGGAATAAAGGAGGAACGCTGCATCGCAGCCTTTTCGGACCAAAACCAATCGACTCAGCGTCCAAAAGACTACAACATATGGGCCAATCGCGGTCATCCATGCTTTTATAAGAACGAAATGGCGCTTTTAGTGACATTTTGCATACAAATCCCCATCTAGTAGGGCGCAGTCACCCAGTTTCGGTGGAAGTGCGCGAGTTCGATTGGGATTCAAGTAGGAATGGAGCGTCTCAGCTTCCTCGGACCACGACCATTCGACTCAGCACCCTGAAAACTACAACTGGTGAAATTTTAATTTTTGTCTTTAATAATAACTTCCCCTTTAACCCTCTCAGTGCCACGGGCGACTTTAGTCGCCCAGAATGAGTATGTGTGTACAAATAACATAAATTCATATATCCACTTCTACACACAGGAGAGTTACAAACGACCACTCTACGTCTTCAGGAAGACCTTGGCTATCGACTCATCACATCTTGTGTCCGTGAGGATAGATATCGCCAGGGCGAAGCCTGAAGCGCGCGCGCTCGGACAAACAATTGTCGCGCGTAGAAAAAATGACGTATGCGCATCGCGGGCTTCTCTATTCCTCTCGTGGCAACCCATGCGTATTGGGTATCAAAACATCGAGATTTCAGTGGCTTTCAGGCCAACTTTGTCCGAATTTCGTGTGTTGAAAGTTAGTTGACTGCACTGCGATCGATCGCGTGCGTGAGAAAGTGCAGATGCTACGAAAATGCAGAAAACGGACTCAGTCACCCTCGCGAGGAAGAGTATTTTCGCTGCATTTTCTCTTCACACTATCACAGCTGTCTGCCTGGCCATGATATCTTTCCAGAGAGCCATCGTTTGTAAAGATCCGTGGATATACAGCTGAGCTATGAAAAATTTGAGTTCGGCTCAACTCAGAAAAATTTGAATTTTTCTGACCCCGTTTGCACTGAAAGGGTTAAAAACATTGGTTTTTGCTTGTTTGTGATAGTGTGCATGCTGCGCACATTCAGTGTCTTTGCCAGGACCAAGCTCGCAAGATAGTTTCTTCTCTCACATTGTCCCGACTTCATGGTCCAGCTCGTCAAGTACTGCAATTAGTATCTTGCTTGAAGCATGAGTAGCCCGGGGGGGGCACCATGCACGGTGTAGTGCGAAACACATGTGTTCAATGCCCCAATGCACAGCGCACACACACGTCCACGCACGCATATCTCCAGGTGTAAATCGCTGTAAAGACTAAAGAGCACAGCTAAACACAGGAAAGAGCACTTTTGCCGAACTCCATTCCATCACTGCTTGCTTCTGGTGTTCTTTTGCTGAATGTGTTCGCATCACGCCATACTGTATACTGATTCTGGCTGTGTGTGCGGGTGCTTGTATTTTGTAGTGTTTTGCTCGACTCGGAAGGCCACATAAAACTGACTGACTTTGGACTTAGTAAGGAGGCTGAGGACGAGCAGAAGACTTTCTCCTTCTGCGGTACAGTGGAGTACATGGCGCCTGAGGTATGGCGGAGCCTAATTCTTGCCATATTTTTCATTGCCATCACCGTAAAGGCTTGCTGCACATGCCGCTAGGAGTGCCTGTCTGTTGATTGCAAGCTTTGTGTCATCCTCATTATGCAGTCAAGTCTGGTGTTTGCGACCACCCAATAGTGCACAGAAAGCCGTGTCTTTTGTCCAGATGAGCAGGTGGACTGCTGAAATATGGCCCAGGGGCGTTGTAACCAGTTTGGCAGGTCCTGTGCTTTTGAAGCAATAAAGTATGGGTTATTTGGGCCCAATTTTCCAAACATTTCCGCGGGGGAGGGCCCTGGGCACCCACCTCTTCATAGCCGTACCAATGTCAAATACCTTCTGATGCCCCTGTGGCCTGTGTGTGTTCAAGTATTCTCCTTATCCAGGATGATTTGACTGGATGGGCAATGCCCTTTGGTCCTGGCTCTAGTAGTCAACCCTCAGGAGCATGATGTGTTTGGTCACCTTGTCAGAGTGATCCCCATGGCAGATGGTCCCCTAAAGAAAGTACTAGCGTTTCAACGGTTTGGCAGGCTTTACTGTATTTGCGTGTGCTATGTCATTCTCCTCTATGTGACATTGGATGTCTTTGTGTGTGTGTGTGCGTGTGTGTGCGTGCGTGTGTGTTGCGTGCACCCAGGTTGTCAACCGCAGGGGTCACGATGCAACGGCTGACTGGTGGTCTTATGGTGTACTCATGGTTAGTGGGTACTCATATGTGTGTGTGGGTGGGTGTGTCTGTCTGTGTGGGTGGGTGGGTGGGTGGGTGCTGTCCGCTGTCCATCAATTGGCTGCATATTTCATTTTCATGTTGATATCCGTATGCTTTCACATTCTATGATGTGCGAATTTTGGATAATGATTCTGGTGATGCCAAGCAGTCTTCAAAGGTCTGAACGCTGAAGCACGTGCTGTGATAAACAGTGCTTGAAGAAGCAGGAAAACCCGAAAATTCTTTCTGACAGAGCTCGAGCCTGTGTCGTTTGGCAATGTGTTCTTCGAATTGCAAGCATTCTGCACCCTTCCTCTAAATATGTATTCTGTTTCTGTTCACGTCTATGTGGCTGTTTTGTAGTTTGAGATGCTTACCGGTGCCTTGCCATTCCAGGGAGAAAACCGGAAGGCAACGATGACCATGATTCTCAAGTGAGTAGTGCAATTCACTTGTGCTTGCGGGACTATTAGATGACTATGTGCACGTGTCGGTATGCACATGTCATGCCCTTAAGGTTAAAGGGGAAGTATACCCTAAAATCAAATTTTCACCAGTTGTAGTCTTCGGGGTGCTGAGTCGAATGGTCTTGGTCCGAGGAAGCTGAGACGCTCCCTTCCTCCTTTATTCCCAATCGAACTCGCGCACTTCCACCGAAACTGGGTGACTGCGCCCTACTAGATAGGGATTTGCATAGAAAAAGTCACTAAAAACGCCGTTTCGTTCTTATAAAAGCGCGGATGACCGCGATTGGTCCATATGTTGTAGTCTTTTGGCCGCTGAGTCGACTGGTTTTGGTCCGAAAAGGCTGCGATGCAGCATTCGGCCTTTATTCCCAATCGAACACGGTTGAGTAAGCGGTCACGTGCTCATTTACAGCCTGTTTGGGCCCGTTTATGTCACTCGAGGTGAACCTTTGAACCAGGGAGTCGTAAAAGTCTCTTACGACTCCCTGCTTTGAACCTTTGAGTTGAATCTTGATGTGAAAATTGTACTCTGCAGGCACGGTGACCAGGCGACTGGTGTACACATGAGCACGTGACCGCTCACTCAACCGTGTTCGATTGGGAATAAGGGCCGAACGCTGCGTCGCAGCCTTTTCGGACCAAAACCAGTCGACTCAGCGGCCACAAGACTACAACATATGGAACAATCGCGGTCATCCGCGCTTTTATAAGAACGAAACGGCGTTTTTAGTGACTTTTTTCCATACAAATCCCTATCTAGTAGGGCGCAGTCACCCAGTTTCGGTGGAAGTGCACGAGTTCGATTGGGAAGAAAGGAGGAAGGGAGCGTCTCAGCTTCCTCGGACCAAGACCATTCGACTCAGCACCCCGAAGACTACAACTGGTGAAAATTTGATTTTAGGGTATACTTCCCCTTTAAAGCTGGTTTGCTCGTTGTTTACCTGTTTGTGGTGACTTGCGGAAGCTCTTGTATAAGCTTTATTGATGTAACTGTGTGTCTGCATATGCTTCCGCAGAGCCAAGCTAGCCATGCCCCAGTTCCTTAGCCCGGAAGCACAGAGTCTCCTTCGCTTGCTCTTCAAAAGAAACCCTGTCAATCGATTAGGTCAGTCTATGGCAGAGTTGCCTTCCCAATACTTGATGTTTGCTTCTGTTTGCAGTTTATTGGCAAGAGTGCAAACGGTAGGAGTGGGCAGCCTGCCCATAAAGAACACTGTAATTTCACAAATTTTCGGTGTACTTTTGTGTTGGGTACTTCCGGTGCATCTGTTTCATGCCTAAAATTTCTGAAATTAGAGTGCAGGTGGAATCCTGATAATTCGAATATGGATTAACCCTTTATGTACCGCGCATCTAATGTATGCGTAGGGTACTCCTCGTCAATGATGGACCTATAGGATAAAATCTAGACGCATTTTGTATGTGCAAGTTATGTTTTTCTGAATGTATAGTAATGAATGGGTCCATTTGTCAGTATACTGTAATCCAGCATGCAACTAATAGTAAAGGGCATACACGGAATACCCAATTACGAGCCAATTGTGCGTAACTCTGACAATTGAGATCGCTACATTTGAAATAAAGTATAGACGTATCAGGGACGGCCATTGGGACGCACAGTGACAACAGGATACCACAGGCACTAGTTGCATGCATGAACAGCAACAGAAGGGGCGGAAAACGGATGTATCGTCTAATTACCAGACGCGAACAATTGCGTCAAATATTCAAATTATTGCAATTATTTCAGATTTGAGATATGCAGTTTTTGCTGATCTACTCACGTCGAGCGAGGATTGGTGATTGAGAAGACAAGAAATAGTTACTAGGGGATGACCTCCGCCTGCCGTGGTGATTTTATGCCATCGCTGCCCTCCCTCTCGCTGCTACTTGGAGAGCGAATGCTGTGATGGCTTCAGCGATGAAAATTGGCAGTTTCGATTCAGATCCTGAGGAGATATCGCTGCTTCAGCTCTCTCCAGGTGTCTACCACGACTAGAGGATGTCGACATTAGCTGGAGAAGGCTATATCTCTATTAGCAGCAGCGTGACGGAACGAAAACACGATCGAAATTGGCAAAATATATCGCAGAGCGCTGCATTTGCGAAGCGCACTTTTCGCCGCGATCGGTCTCCATACTTTCAAATGGCGACCTACCCATATCATACATCAAACTTTTCAGTGGGATCTCAGCTGTCCACTGCAAAAAATCGCGAGTCAATCAGAGAAAGGACGCTGCCGAACGGCGCGTTCAAGTGCGGCGCGCCGAACCGTAAATATTTTTACGGTTCGAGATAGGCGCGGTACATAAAGGGTTAATTCGAACATACCGCTTAATTAGAAGTTTTTCCAGGACCGATTTCTGTCAATACGATTCCCACATAATCTTTTCTGATAATTCGAACCTCGAACCAAACATGTCCGGTTAATTCGAAGTTCCACGGATTCCACTTTAATAGAAAATGTGTGGGATTTGTGCTGATAATTCGAAGTTAGCAAAGTGTAATTCGAAGTTCACTGTACACTGTACTGGTCAGTTCAGTTTGCATGAGCAGGCTGTGCCGGTCAGTTCAGTATCCGTGAAATCTGTGTCTAAGGTCCATAGCGCAACTCTGCGTGACCATGAGAGCATTTTGATATACACATTGTGTTGTGGGTTCATGTTTGGATAATTAGAATGTCCGGCTAATTAGAAGTTTTTTCCTGGCATTTCGAGGTTTGAATTATCAGGATTCCACCTGTACTAGTACATCACACTTTCATTCACTGTACATGTATTGTGGACTCATTGCTTATTGCAGGACCGCAAACTCATCGTGTTGGAGTGAGGCGATGCAGAGTTGTTTTGCAGATAGAGTGCATTGCAATGGGGACATTGCCTTCTCCTGCTGAGATTAAACGTGTGTGGTTTCTTGTCTTCTAACAGGTTATGGCCCAGATGGCATCAAGAATATCAAGGCTCATGCATTCTTCAGAGTTATTGACTGGGATGTAAGTAGAAACCGGCTGGAAAGACTGTGTACTAATGGGTAGCCGAGTGGTAGGCGCGGTGAAATCAACAAGAATTACTTTTATTCTACTTTCAGGTACACACCTGAGATATAATTATTAGTGAAAGAAGAAGCGACAAAAATAAATAACTTTCTCTCCGGTGCTCACCTAGAGGTTGAATCCTTCTTCTTCGAGTTAGCTTTCATTGCTATCTAATCTAATCTAATCTAATCAAAACAGAAAAAGCGCAGCTGCTTTTATGCAGCAGACGCCGTACGCTTATATGCGGAGATACACTAAAATTAATATACATAAGGTCGTTCCGTATTGCTTCCGTATTACTTCCGTATTAGCCAGGCAGGGATACTACAACTGCACTGCTAATACACGCAACCTAGATGATCATCTATGGCATAGCCTGTGTCTCATGTGTTTCAGATCAGTAATTTACAATGAAATTGGCGTGGCAACAGCTGGTACTGAGCACCTCCGACTGCTATAATATTCTGTGTACATCATTGGTACGCTATTATATCTTAGCGATTTTTCTCTCTCTGTGTGTGTCTCTCTCTCTCTCTCTCTCTCTCTCTCTCTCTCTCTCTCTCTCTCTCTCTCTCTCTCTCTCTCTCTCTCTCTCTCTCTCTCTCTCTCTCTCTCTCTCTCTCTCTCTCTCTCTCTCTCTCTCTCTCTCTCTCTCTCTCTCTCTCTCTCTCTCTCTCTCTCTCTCTCTGATGCAGAGACTGTATGGTCGTGAAGTTGATCCTCCCTTCAAGCCAGCAGTACACAAGGAGTTCACGTTTTACTTCGACCCGGAATTCACCAACAGAACACCCCGAGGTATATGTGTGTGTGTGTGTGTGTGTGTGTGTGTGTGTGTGTGTGTGTGTGTGTGTGTGTGTGTGTGTGTGTATCTGCACGCACACACAATGTTTTGTATTTTTTCAACTACTGCACATGCGTGCTGTTGTGTGCACCCATGCAGTGCCCCACACATATCTCTGTGTGCACGTCATGTGGCTGTGGATGAGTGCACTTGTGTAGTGTCAGGCGTGTAGATTGTTAGCGGGCATCAGGGCAATGTATAGATAGTCACTGGCATTGAGTATGTTTCGTTTTGTTTGTACATGCACTGATTCACGGTGGAAACCTGTCTTCATGTGTGCCGTACGTGTCTAATTCCCCCTGTCTTCGCACCTTTCTTGGTCGTGCAGATTCTCCTGCAGTACCGGAGAGTGCGAATACGCAGAAGATCTTCAGAGGGTTCAGCTTTGTTGCCACTGACTTGGTGAAGGTTGGTTTAACGGAGCAGCAGTGTTTGAGGTCATGTCATTAGCTGGACTAACTCTTGTTTGCTCTGTCGCCTTGCTTATCTGCTTTCAGGAAGCGGAGAAGGAATCCGGTGTAGCAGCAGCAGCACCACCATCACTCTCCTCGTCCAACTATGCGCAGCGGATTGAAACCAAGTACAATGTCCTTTCAGTAAGCTACCTCTTTTTCGACATAGTTCTCTCTCCCATCTTGCTTGCGCCAGCACGCGCGTGTGTGTGTGTGTGTGTTTCAGTTTTTGGATTTCTGTTGTCCTAAGGTAGCAGGTGTGCTCCAGTGTTGTTTACCATTCTTGCTGCTTTTCCTGGAGTGCAATTCTACATGACTGTAGATTATTGGGCTAAACTCAGCTGCAACAGAGAGCATCGAACAATGAAAACAGTTCTTGTTCCCCTCCCAGCTAGTTTACAGACGCTTACCGGAGTAGATGTTGCCAGACTATCTTCAGGTTGCCAGACTATCTTCAGGTTGCCATTGTTTTTGTCTCAGTCCATGTTTGACTGGTCACGAAATCTCATGTTTTAGAAATGTTGCAGTGCACAGTGGATGGGCTATAGACACTGTTCAACAATTGTGGATTCTTTCTGTGTGATCTCTAGGAATCTCTCGGCGAAGGTTCCTACTCACAATGCCGAAAATGCGTTAGCAAGGTCACTGGAGAAGTGTGTGCCGTGAAGGTATGTCAGCTTTGGTGTGTGCGTGCGTGTGCATGCATGCATGTCAGCTTCATTGTGCTGAGGTTATCTTTTGTTTTCTTCTCCGCCATAATACAGTGTCCTTCTGTCTTTCCATAGACTTGCAAGGGTACAGCACCCACATGAATTAAAGAAATGTTAAAACAATGTTCGATGAGTGTGGCATTTCGTTGAAATGTTCGAACATTGCTCGGATGTACATGTATTTGAAGTATGCTTTCCCGAGTCTTCTTGGTATTGTAAACTAATTCCCCTACTCCGGTTCCCCACGCCGTCACGCACTTAGGTGTAGGAGAAGTTAGAATACATTAATTAGTAAAATTGGTGGAAGAACCAAGTGACCATCCTGTCACGGCAAGCTCCAAACGAAAAAAAACCAACAGGCCAGAGCTACGGCCGCTGGAACTAGCAAAGCCAACGCGCCAAAAAACACGCGTACACTCGGGACAACCGAGGCGCACTCCCACCACTAGCCATGTATGTGGCGGGTTCATACAAGTGATACAAAACATGTCACGGCGCGCGTGCACGCCGGATGCTAACACCTACATGCGGAGAATAAGAATACTGCTGCATGCAGACAACACGCTAGGGAGATAGGGAGAGGGACAGTCACAAGGCATGCATTATATTTCAATATCATGAGAGTGAGGGAAGGGGGGCACTATCAGTGCTGCCAAACCGTCCGAGTTTTCGGGCAGTGTCCGATTTTTGAAGGCTCTTCCGAAAACCGGTCCGAAAAAGGAAACGTCCGAAAAGCAGCCAAAATGTCAGGGATCAGTACTTCCCTATGCAGCAGTCCTGTATTTTCACTTTTCAGCGCAACTAAAGGCACAAATCACTGTACATGTGCTTTTAAAAGGGCTAGCGCTAAAGTAAAATGCCTGGATGGCAATAGACTACACTGTGCATTACAAAATTCATGACAACTTCGGGGTGCCATATTGGTTACTATGGCAACAAAGCGAATTTTCATGGTATTTTGGGCGATATTTTGAATTCTCTGGAAAAAAATTCTGAGGAGAAAAATTCGCACCATGTGGCCAGCCTTGGCGGTGAAGGGTGTCCGATTTTGGGCGAAAAATATTTGGCAGCACTGCACTATGTACAGTCGACCTACCCTTATAACGATATTTGCGTCCGACCATGAAATATTGTTATAAGGGAAACTGGTTCATTCATACACATACGTCATAATGCATGAATTTAGTTCATTTTTTACACTCTTCATAGCGTCAAAAACATATGTACATGCACATTATGTGCACAGCAAGGTGCTCACTGGTGCCCCCATTGCATTTCGTCATGTTCCAGCGACTTATCAAGTGAAGCTTACCCTACCTTGACAGTGGACTGTACATATTCCCTGCTGGATATTGTTATAAAATGGAAAATGTCGATTGGTCAGCCCATTTTATATTGTTATAGGGGTAATATCGTTATAGCAATATTGTTATAGAGGTAAGGCATTGTATACAAAAGTCAATGGACTGATTTGGTTTGACAGAAAAATATCGTTATAAGGGTAATATCGTTATAGGGGTTATCGTTATAAGGGTAGGTCGACTGTACTTGTATGTAACGTGCTGACTGTAGCAGTTGGGTGCCTTCAGTGTAGGCCAATCCATCTTTCTGCTGTTGCCTGTCTATGTCTTTCATCTTGCAGATTATTGATAAGATTAAGCGTAACCCAGAGGAAGAAATCGAGGTAGGTCTTCTCAGTGGTCTGGGTCACATCATTGGATCTCTGCTTCTTCTCCTCCGTATCTTTGGGAAGAGAAAGACAGAAAGAGAGAGAGAGGGGGGGGGGGGGGGTGAAGAATGTATTGTACTCCTTGACTGTTGTGCCTTATGCCGTGTATCTTGCTGTGTGGATGTCTGCATGGGTGCATAGATGGGTGTGTGTGTGTGTGCATGTGCATGTGCGGCTGTATGGCGCCCTTTCGACTGTGCATGCGGCGTGATTTTGCATCTGGGTTTAGTTTAATCCCGTTTTCTCTCTTTCGTTCTGTTTGTGTCTGGCAGATCCTCTTGCGTCACGGTAACCATCCTAACATCATCCAAGTTCGAGATGTAAGCTGGAGTGTAGGGACTGGCCCCTGGCCTCCTCTTCACTACTGCGCTTTTTTCATGCTGATGCTGTGCCGCTTAGCATGACATCATGCAGTGTATTCTTTTGCTGATTTCCTCGCTCCCAATCTTCCCACTACATGTCCTGTTCTGGTGATATAGTTGCTGCTGTTTTCAGAATGGCTAGCCTGCAGTGCATGCATCTCCTCGTCTTGTCCACATTCTCCTTTGTGCCAATTGTTAGATCAGCTACCATCGGCGACAATGCTACTAGTACATCATGCTGTTTCTTGTGTGTGTGTGCGCGCGCGCGTGTGGTTTTAAAATCTACAGGTCTATGATGATGGTCAGCACGTGTTTCTGGTCACAGAGCTCATGAAAGGTGGTGAGCTGCTGGATCGCATCGTCAAGCAAAAGCACTTCACAGAGCGAGAGGCTTGCATGGTGATGCGAACGTTAGCCAACACCGTGTGCACACTTCACAAGCAAGGGGTGAGTGGTGCTACATCAGTTATGTTGACGTTGGGCGGTGCTTGCAGTGCTGATGACGGCCACTTGCTTTCACCTGTCGTGCAGACTTGAGGGCGATTTTGCAGTGCAACTCTTTATGCAAGGGCATCATGATTTGTAGAATTGTAGTGCATGGGATCTGGATGAAGATTTTGATTGCTTGTGCTGTTTGTCTCTGTGTGGCAATGGACTGTGATGTCTAGGTTGTGCACCGTGACCTGAAACCAAGCAACATTCTGTACGCAGATGAGAGTTGCAATCCATCATCGCTGCGTATTGCTGACTTCGGTTTCGCCAAGCAGCTGCGCGCAGAGAACGGTTTGCTGATGACGCCCTGCTACACAGCCAATTTCGTTGCACCCGAAGTGCTGAAGAAGCAGGGCTACGATGCGGCTGCAGATATCTGGAGCTTAGGCGTCCTTCTCTACACTATGCTGGCTGGGTGAGTAGTGAGTAGTGGCTGCCTGTAGCAAGATGCTGATTTCCTATGGCATTGTGTGGGCAACTCCAGGCCCAGGGAGGGATCTTCATACAAAAAAAAAACTTTTATCAAAGCACGTATATGTTGCCAATCTCAACAGTGATGGCCTCTTAGTGATTAGGTGAATAGCTAGTTGCCACTGGCAATGTTCTGAAGAATTATTCTTGTTTGTTTTGTCATGGGGACAAATTTATCCTGTATCACATGCATGCATGTAGCTGTTTTGCGATCCACCTCTACTCTAACATCACCATGACTAGCAACACACGACTGCAATGAACAGAACACCCTGCAACACACGACTGCAATGAACAGAACACCCTGCAACACATGCATAGCTTATGTAAACACGTACATCCAGCCACCAGCTGCCGCTTACATCACATTGTCCAAGCTGATGTGATGTTTCCTGTGCTGGTGTTGACTGAGATCCATCGGAAGCTATTGGCTATCCTCTACTCCTTCTCTCCAATATTCTTTTGTACTTTCAAAATGAGAATATCGACTTCAACTTCAAAATGAGAAGTTCTACAAACGTAGACGAAGCGCCAGTTTTCTTCGAATTTGTCAAAATTCATAGAAAGCTCGAGTCGCACCTTCAAGAGCCGCGCACCTGCAGTCGCTTCTTTGCATTGCGCTCCAGGAACCGATCTGAGCTGGATAGGGACTTGTTGAACATTGTTGGTGGACTTTCCAAGTCGGATATGCATCAGAAGGCATTGGGACTGCCAACGCGCATGCAAAGGGTACTCTCAGTGATTTGCAGATTGATACCAATCACACAGGATAAGATAGGTGCAGAGACAAGTGAAAAGTGAAGCACAGTGCTCAATTTGTTGAAATAGAAGTCTGAATTATCTTGTTAAAAACTGCACAGTGCTATGCAGTGAATGTGCTTGGGCAGCACAACTGCTCTGCAAAATCACTATAGCTATTCGCGTATGTAGTCAGGGCAGATGTAATTTTGTATTCCTCCTTTTCTTGATGTCTCGCCTGGTTGTAGGGAGACACCATTTGCAACAGCTGACACGGACTCACCAGCGCAGATCCTCTCGCGAATCACCGAGGGCACTATTCAAATGGCTGCCGGCAACTGGGATGCTATTTCCGAGATGGCCAAGGTAATGCTGTGCCGCCTCTTAGATGAGTATGCCTATTTGCCTTCGCTTGCTTTCTTAACCCTTTCGGTGCTAATGACGTCTATAGACGTCATGCGCACTGTACGCCAAACGACTAATGACGTCTACATGTATAGACGTCATGAGATTTGCGCAGTACATCGCAGTGCATAGATCAGTGTACGAATTTTCGTAACTTCGTCAAAAATAAGTCTATCGCGACAATTGATACACCGTTGGAAAGGTGTTGAGCTTGGCTTTCCAGCGATATAAAGTTCTTTGCGATAGGGGAAAGATTGACGGGGCGGCGACGGTGTGAACACAAAATTCACGGCACTTGGTGATCGTGAATTTTTTTGTTCATGCGTTCGCAGTTTTCTGTTGCGTGCCAGGGGATTTCCCTTTGGCACAGTGCATGCGTAATGGACACCAACGGAAGCACGTGGATCTCAGCTTTGCAGCGCAGTTTGAATCGTGAAAATCGGCTGACCTGGAGCAAGAAACTGAAAAAGGATGTGAGATCGAGTTCCTGTGCCTTTCCGAGGCATGCCGCATCGTGAGGTAGCTTCAAGAGGACGTAGAAGTTGCACCGCTGTGCATATTGAGTTGAGGGCTACCAGGATGGATTCGCTTGGACATGATCTTTCTAACAAGCCCAGGGTGATGAAAATCCATCAAGATAAACTGAATTGAGAGAAAAATTCGTTCAAACCTGTGTACCTGTGTGCGGGGAAAAAACACCAGGAGAGTCATTGCGCTGGGAAGGCAGTTTTGCTGGAGTAAAAGGGGCCAACACGGAAAGGGTTAAGTAGCATGCTTCCGCGCACAAAAGAACATGTTAAATCCGAGTACTAGTATAAGCCCACGTCTGCATTTAAGCACATGCTATTGAGAACAATGACTCAATTTCTGCTAGCATGGTCAATTCATTGCAAAATTCACCAGTTGACACATTGACATCGGTATGTCCTACTTCAAGTACAATTGATGATGATGCCAGAATCATTGTTCTCCCAAGTGTGGCAAGTCTGGCAGTGAGTGTCCATGCAAACAGTACCGACACATATCCATACTACACGCACGTGCTTTTATGCGAGCAAATACGACCTCTCGATTTCTGCCCAGTACATCGGCTTTGCGTATGACCACATTCGCTTTTGTACACGCAAGTAGGGCACTGTGTACTGCGAGCACATATCGCACATGGCCATGGAACTGATTTGTAATTTGCTGCATGTGTAAACTGAAGTGAGGATAGTGTCCAGGTGCCGGTGGGGAGATGGCTGAGACTGAAATGCCCCGTGCATTGTGACTTTTCTAGGATTAGGGTACTGGCAAATCATACGTAATAAGTGGATTTGTGAAATGGAACATGGGCACACGTTGGCAAGGTTGATAAAGGGTTTGCCTGTGCTCATGCGCACGTGTATATGCATGAGCAACTCGCTATCCTATTAAGCCATCTTTCCAAAATTCTTTCTTAATCTCTCTCCAAACTCGAAGGGAAATTCACGCGACCAGTTGCCGGCAGTGAACAAGCACAGTACGATACAGTGTGTATGTCTGTGTGTGCACGCATGCATGTGGGTGGGTGCGCATGTGTGTGCACGCATGCATGTGGGTGGGTGCGCATGTGTGTGCACGCATGCATGTGGGTGGGTGCGCATGTGTGTGCACGCATGCATGTGGGTGGGTGCGCATGTGTGTGCGAACGTGTGCGCGTGTGTATCTGACAGGACTTGGTGCGGCAAATGTTGCACGTCAACCCCAATCAGCGGCCTACTGCAGAAATGATCCTCTTGCATCCGTGGATCAAAGCACTTGACTCTCTTCCCAATGAGAAGCTTCAAGTTCGTAATTTTGGCGTGAAGGTAAGTGCTAATCATAAATGCCAGAAAGAATGTTATAAGAACTTCGTTACGCCCATGTACTACCAAAGTCTGTGCCCAAGAGCATGCACTTGTGATCTCTTTTCTATGGGCCAGCTGCATGTCACGCTGCCTTCATTGCACCCGGCAGCTAAGGCCGTGTACTGCCGAAATCAAAAACCACATTTTCCCCAGAGTTGAAGATTGTTGTTGTTGTTACTTTATTTTATTTCACCAGAATAACAGGCAGTAGAATGCCTTCTCACTAGACCAGGTCTAGTTCTCACAGATGATGAAGAATGTGAATGAACGTGCGGAAGCCAGTGAAAACCAAGAAATCGAAAAAGATGAGAAAAACTTGTGTTTTATATTTTATAACTCGGGTATTGAGCCAATAATAAAAGTAGAAAGGAAAAGGACATATGGAAACGAGTTAAGAGTAACTCTCCACCACTTTAACTAGATTCTATATACAGTCAGAAAGTGCAACAACTAGGCACAAAACTGACAGAGTACTGAGACATTCGACGTCCTGACACCTAGCTTCAACACATCTCCGTAGCGCTAACCGACAGCCTTCCAACTTGGAAGGTTCAAGGTTATGGAAAGACCAAAGAGGGGAAGGTAAGCGCAACGAAAACGAGCAAAAGCTACAGTCCCAACGGAACAAAGAATGTCGATTGTCAGTTTTGTGCCTAGTTGTTGCACTTTCTGACTGTATATAGTATCTAGTTAAAGTGGTGGAGAGTTACTCTTAACTCGTTTCCATATGTCCTTTTCCTTTCTACTTTTATATTTTATGACGGTATTTGTATGGGAGCGACAGTGATTACATGACAAGGGAAGGAAAAGAAAAAGATAGAAAGAAAAGAGTAAGATAAGGGAAATTGAGACTGGCTTTATAATTGAATATACCCCGTGGCTTGTAAGTGGTGTGTTTTACGCCACGAGCCTCGTTCAAATTACGGGGATTCCACCTGTTTTATCCATTGATAAATTTAAGTTTGGACCACCCTCTTTTTTTGCTGTTTGCTTTGGATAGCGTGCTGTCGAGAACACATTCTTGGCAATCAGTGGGCCGCCGGAGAAGAAAGAACTGGACGCAGTAGTGTCATCCGAGTTAGCTCGCCGTCGCCAGAAACACATTAAACCAATTGGCAACAGTGACGGTTCCACAGCCCTGTAATCTCACTGCTTGCTACATTGCACGTCCAGCCACCAATGGTCTTACGATTGTGTCAGCAAACCGTACCCGTTTGCTTTTGCTCTATTTTCGACATTACTCGCCCGCCAAGGCTTTTCATTGGCGCTTTGATGCTGCTGCTGCCACTGCTGCTGCCGCCGCTACTATTTCTACATGTAGTACTGCTATTGCCGCTACTGTCGTTACCTTCGTTCCCATCGCCGCTGCTATGATCTTTTAATTGACGGCTTTATCTGCTGTTGCCTCTTACAGAGGCCTGATGCTTGTAGTGGCACGGCCAAGATATTGTTGGCAGTGCACATTCTCCATGTATCTAGGTTCTCATTTTCCAGTGGGTGTGACCATTCTTCTTTCTTTATGTTGCAGTGCACACATTCCCTTGTGCGCTACTGGCTATCAGTTCTATGCCCAAGACAAACAAGCTCTCCTATCCAATCTCCCCCCCCCCCCCCCTCACACACACCGCCTGTATGTTTTGTTTCGTTTGTCAGTGATGAGTAAACCCGAGTTCATGCCATAACTAATAACAATGTATTTATCTGTCTCGTTTCTTTGGAGGTTACACAGTCACATGCACACTTTCTTTACCTGAAGGCGTTGTACCGCTTGTACACTTTTCTCCACTGCAAACAGTCATATTTTATGAATACAGACTCTACCTCTGTCTGTCTCTGTCCATGTCTCTCTCTCTCTCTCTCTCTCTCTCTCTCTCTCTCTCTCTCTCTCTCTCTCTCTCTCTCTCTCTCTCTCTCTCTCTCTCTCTCTCTCTCTCTCCTGTAGATACTAGACATGATCTTTTTCTGCTCCTAGAGATTATAGTTTCAGCTTGATAGGCCCACCCTAGCACAGTGTGATGTTGGCATACAATACTGATACTTATGAGTTTACTCCTATCAGTCCTCTTTTGAACAGAAAGAGAAATAATCCACGCCAGTCTTGTTCTTTCTTGTTGCCTGTGGAGCTGTGTATGCTGTGAGTGTCATATCATTGATTTCTGGGATGGATTGGATACCCTGGTACGACGTTCGCTCGTCTAAGAAGGAGTTTGCAGATTCTGCTCTGGTTTTCCCTGTGTTTGGAAACAGTGACCTTACCACGACCATCCACGGTTGCAGGTTAGTAGCAACAGGTTTCAACATAACAATGTTTATCTAATACCATGACGAAGCTGCATGTAGCCGAAAGAGAGTGTGTACAGTCACTCATAGCAGTTAGGGGCCGTCCGGGGTTACCAATAGTTTTTGCAAAACGTAAAGTTTTAGTATTTTTCAGTACCCAGTATGGCCCACCCACCTACCTTTTCTTCTGGTAAAACGAATTCCAATAAAATAGTGATGTCAATTTTTGACAACCCGAAGTAACTGGGCATTCTCCATCTGCATTCAATAATAATTATTATTTTCGAAACGAAACTCCTTCAACCCCCCCCCCCCCCCCAATTAAAACTTTTCGTTTTGAAAATACTTTTTTAAATTTTGGTAGCCTTGGACGTCGAATGTCTCAGTACTCTGTCAGTTTTGTGCCTAGTTGTTGCACATTCTGAGTATCTGGTTACAGCAAGAGTACATAACCCCCGGGGGGTTATGTGCTCTTGGTTACAGTGATGGAGAGTTACTCTTAACTCGTATCCGTATGTCCTTTTCCTTTCTACGAGTACTATCCATTTATTTTTGGAGAATCCTTCAAATATAGTCTGAATGAATGAAATGAAATTGAAACTGAAAGGTTTCACGACTCCCGGACTGAAACAGTTACTGATGAAACGCTTGAATAACGTTAAAAGTTATAAAGATATCTGGGCCGGCGGATATCCGCTAGCGCTACGCGCGGGAAGTACAATAGTCGGTTTCTAGTCTAGACTACACTGTACGTGGTTTTCAATCTTAAGTTTGCATCATCAAGTCGAAGGAAATAAAGTAAAGAGAAAGTGCAACGCAGAGGTGGAGCGCGACCGTCCAATAGCGGACTTAAAACTACGTAAAAAGTAAATAAAAAAAGTAAATTATCGTATCCGTTCCCGAAGGGAACTCACGACGGCCGCTAACACCCGATAAACCCTACCCTAAAACTACGTAGTAGGATGAAAGGAGCACAAACGAAACCAAGAGTACTCTATGTACTCTTGACGAAACCAATACGGACAAAGCCAGAGGCAAATGTTATCAGATACGAATGTTCGCCTCGGCAACCGCCAAGGTGGGAGGTGAATCCTCTGCACTGGCTGAAGATTTCAGGAACCACGCAAACACATGACACTGAACTGGAGTAGGGAAAAACTCAATTTGCAGCGAACTCGAGACATGACACAGCTGTATGCTTCTCTGGTCTTCGCTGCTTGAAGAGCAGCTATCCGCTTGTAGAGCGACTCCGCGTGTTTGCCCAAACCACCGGTGGTAGAAAATATGGCCGTATTCACAACAAACGGCGAATGCTCAATGTCGCGGACACGTTGCTCGTAGCAGCGCCGCTTCTCCTTCTGGTGCTTGGTGTCGCTGGAAGCAATGGAGGTGGCACGGTTTGAGGGGGCATGAGGATTGAAAACCCTCACCGACATCGATGAAGGTGCGCTCAAACCAGCCACCCCAGATGCCACTTGCGGTAACGTCGATACAAACCTGTTCAATCTGGATAGCTTTGCGATGCCGGGACTGCTCCCCAGTGACCGGCTTCAGGTGGGGCTCCATGGAAACATTGAGAGCCACCTGCTTCAGCATAATGGGTGTTGAGGTCACGCACCTCATTGTGCCGCATCGACGGAAACCCATCGGCGGGGCAGGACAAAGCGTGAGCGACTGAGGGGGTCACCCACGATCAAGGGCTGACAGGTGAGCCAGGAAGAAGCTCCCTTCTCTGACGCTAGCGCAATGACCCGCTGCAACTCAGCATCCACAGGTGCCGGAAGAAAGAAGCATAGCCTCGCGGCATCAGCCCGAACCGAGGCGTCAACTGTTTTCTTCACTTGCTTCTTGGCAGCCCGCACATCGTGAATGGCGGTACCTAATTCCATACTTGAATCTTGGACCAAGATGTGGCTTGTCAGGGGCGCGTGAGGTCTCGAGAAGACTGGTATCATGTGGGAGGCTTGTGACGATGGGTGAGGCAGCCCGAGACAGCCGAAGCGACACGGAAGAGCAAGGAGGCTGTGCACCTGGGTATTCACCGGTCATCCCAGAAGGCAGGTATCAGCATGTTGGACACAGCAGCATCAAGTGGACGCAGGTGCTCATCCATAGCTGGGATGACGGGGCAGAGACTGAAGGTCCCGGCACCGTGACGTACTCTGTAGGCCATGGGTATACGCTGCATGGCACAGCTTAAGGCTGAGAGCGGACATAGTCACTCCACCGTTGGTCCTGTGCGGCCCGCTCCTTGACCTTCTGCTGCATGTACTGCATGGCGAACGCGGATGACCCGATGGCTGCACCAAGGTAGCGGCATCCATCTGCCTGGATAGAAACACCAGTACATGTACAAGCGAAAATCCGGTTGGCCTCGTCGAGGAGTGGGGGCTTGACCACTAGGACCGTTATTATTTGGGAAGTAACCATATTCAGGGGGGACCCTTCTCCATCAGCCGATCCCACCACGCTCGGACGCTCCTCAGCTTGCCACCGGATCCTGCATCATCCGCATACCATGTCTGTATTGCTCATGTCTATATTGCTCCTTCTGTATGTGTAGGGCTCCCTGCTTGCAACAGCCTTCTTGAGTGGGATGATGCCAATGGCATACATCGCTTTTATACCTCGATATTTAGGTACTTGTTTCCCTTCTTCCCATGCTTCATCTTCCACTCTCCTCTCCCCCATTTCCCCATTTTTCTTGCGATATTTATGTGGGAGACTTCCGTGATAAGCGTCCATTTGCTTTTTGGAGAATCCTTTTAAATAAATACAATACAATACAATAGTGGTGAAACGAATATTCGAATATTCGAACATTCGTTCGGTTTGTCACATTCGAATATTCTTTAAGTCACATCGAGTATTCGTTACGTCACTTCGAATGCAGTGCATGTATATACAAGCACGCCGAACACAATACAGTGCAGTGCGTACAGCCTGCCTGTGACTTTGTACTCCATGTTTGCACATGTATGTGCATACTGGACTGCCAATGTTGCACATAACATCAAGAGTAGATAAACAAGAGTGTGCAACTCGCGGATTGGTTGGCCCACGGCGGAATTTTTTGTTGACGTAATCTTTTCGACGACGCACGCGCTGCGAGCCTTTTGGAGAGGTTTCCCTCGTGCACTTGGCCGGGCTTTACACTACAAGGTCTGTGCCCAGCACGTGCTCTCACACTGCTCTGCGGCAAAGTCCGCGTTTCTCTGAAAAAAGGTGACGTCAACAAAAAATTCCGCCGTGGGCGGGAGTATCTGCAGATTGTGCAGGAGAGATCCGGAGTTGCACACTCTTGTTTATCTACTCTTGATAACATGTATGAACTTCGAAGTAGTCTTATGTGGCAATGCATTTTATGTGGCACTACTGTTTGTCGTACCTAATAATAATGACAATATCCATCAAATGACTGAGAGGAGGGCATGTGATGGCATCTCTGTTACCAAAAGAAATTAAAGAATATTCGTACGTTCGTTCGATAAGCCAAAGAATATTCGGTTACTAGGTTTTGACATTCGTTTCACCACTACAATACAATACAATACAAATCGCCATGACGACGGCGTCGCCCTAGGCCCTGTACTCACGGCTGTTTCGCGTGATCCAAAAGGCAAGATGGCGTCCTTTTACACATTTTTGGTAAAATCCACCTTTATAACGCCTTGGCGGTGCTCACCCAGAGATTACACGCAGTGCAAGGAAAATTTTTTTTGCTTGGTGCCAAAAGAGCTACATGAGCTACAAAAAAAACATTGTCAAGTTAGTTGTTTAGACGGTTCGTCTCGTTGTAGGCCAAGTCAAGTGGTTTTGAAGTGTAGTCTTCGCTGTCTTGAACGTGGAGTTTCGATAAAACACGGATGAAGGCGACATCTGCCAGACCCAGTAACTCTTCGGTTTATGCCGTTCTTCGACACAACATCATTTTCGTGCTGGAACTATTGTTATTACTTCTACAATTGTAGTTCAAGTTCTTGTATTACGCCGGATCATGTCACAGTGCATTTTCCTCTACTTGCCTGTGGCCGAGGAACGTTGTGTAGTTCCTGCACGTGCTCAGCACCTGAACTGTACGTTCATTTAGAGTTTAGTTCAGGGCTACCCGAAAATCTCTTGACATAATAGATGTGTTGACGCATGCCACCTGGTGGCTGAATCAGTGCACGTGATTCTCAACCTGGCGGGAGGAAGCAAAGAATTTTCATGGACACTCGCTTGAGTATTCTGACAAGTCCCCTCCTTTCTGGTGCTGTTCTGTTGGCACACTGCATCTGCATGGCGGGCCTGGGACAGGCATGCTCCCATGCAGTTGCTGTTCTATTCTGGCTGGATTCTGATATGAGATCACAAGGCTAGCACAGCAGGATCTGCACAGTGGCTGAACATCAGCAGTAAAGAAGGTGCAGTATAAGAAGGAGTAAATTCGATTTCAGTGGTGCAGAACAGTTTTGATTTCAAATTGCATCGCTGCATTGTATTTGACTTCTGTTTCATGTTTGAAGTTACGGTTTTGCTGTTCAAATGATTTCTGAATGTATCCTACCTATGCCTATGGCCGCCACCACCCGCTCTGATGTTGTGAGCGACAAAACAGTTCATGTCTCCACAGGTAGCTAGATTTGGGAATTTTCCCTTGGCTTTAATACTGCAATTGTTGTGCATTACAAAGTAAGCACTGGTGTTAGTGCTTCTTCTCCTTTTAGCTGGAGGAGCTAACTTTGTTATTAGCTTATTGTGTGTCGGCAGTGTGGTTGTTAGGTACTGCATGACCAAGACCTTCAGACGGTCAACATCTTTGTTTGTGTTCTG